AATAGGAAAAAAAATTTTGTTTTCTTTTCAACAAAAGAGTTATTATTGTTTGATTTTTGATATTGAAAGAGAGAGAGAGAGAAAGAGATACATATTACACATACCCATTGATAATAGGAAATAATGATGATTTGTTGTTGTTGTTATTGAGAGTGGTAGTTTATTGAAAATTGATTGTAGAGTTAATTCACCCAGACTGATTTGAGATAGGAATTTTTATTATTTTATGGAATTTCAAAGAATATTCTATTATAATGATTTATTATGTTTTTGTCACAAGAATTTACTGGTTGTGGCAGCCAGAACAAAAAAATGGAGGGAAAAACATTTTACATTCGAATCATTTGATGAGTGATAATAGTCGACATACACGACAACGACATGAACCATTTTGGATCGAAATAGATCGAATTTTCATTTTTAGATTCAATTGATGATGATCATTAATTTTTTTTTCTGTTCTGTGTTTTGACTCCAAAATTATTAAATCGAATCAATACGAAATTACAAAATGGTCAAATGATTGATTCATCGAAAATGATCGCCGCTGCTTTTCATGGATGACATTATCGAATTCCTGATTCAGAGTTTGATTCTTTTTGGTTTTTTTGTAATAATAATAATTTCCTCTAGGGAATCCCTGAAAATGAATTCATTTTTTTTCTCATTTCAGAAACATTTTTCTTTTTGGTCTAATGAATTTGGAACATTCGAGAGATTGTCTTCAACCAACCAAACTTGGATAACACACACACAAAACTGCCCCCGGTAAATTCGTTTTTGTTTTGCAATCCATTATAATGTTTTGTTTTGTTCGATTCAGATTTCTTTTCGTTTTGTTTTTTCCAAATCAAAATTGCAAATTGATATTTTATAATAATGATGAATTGAAAACAATTTGATTTGTAAAACAACAAGAAACAATGAACGAATGTGATCCGATCATCATCTTCATTACCAAATTCATCGATCTAGCAAACTGTTTTTTTTGTACTTTTTTCTCCTCAAAATCATCAATCAATTAACAATCAATTTGTCAACCAAAAAACAACAACAACAACAAAAACCAAAACCGATTACTGATTCTGGTTTGTTGATTCACAGTGACGACACTACGACCACCAACAACAATGCACTATCAATTTGTCCATCAAACAACAACAGCAATTTGTTTGACAAAATGATCGTTGACAAAAAGCAACAAAAGCGGCGACGACGAACGGTTTTTTTTATTGTATGTCGAAAAAACATTTGATTTTCCACACTTTTTCATTCGTGAATCAATGAATGAATTATTTTTAACATTTACCAAAAAAAAAATGTGTCCATGAACCATTTCAAGAAGATGATGATCATCATCATCATTACCGCCAATTACTAAACGCACCAATGACCATCAAACCTTTTAGGGACTTTTTTCTTTATTTATTCATTCTGATTAAGGATCAACTCTTTTTGTTGTTGTTCTTGTCGTTATTTTTTCTTCATACCAATCTCAAATCAAATGCTCGCTTTTGGACTTGATTTTCGCTTTCTTTGACCAAACACCATCATCAAACGGTTGACTGGTCATTGCCGATTCAAAAGGGCATTGGTGCATGGAGCCAAATTATGATGGCCAGAAAAAAAAGCAAAACGAAAATGAAATTCAATCAAATGAATGAACAAATTGGTCAACATTCACATGATGATGATGTCACCAATCCTAAGGTAAGAAGGTCCTTGATCTTATTTTTGATAAAAAGAAAAAAAAACTTGAAACTTTTTTGTTTGAATTTTCCAATCCAAATAGAAACAAAAAACTAAATCATTCGAATTTGAAATGGAATCACACGATGTTTTTCCTTCATTTATTGACCATCAATATAAAAAACGATAAAAAATTAATGAAATGGTAAGTGTCATTGATAATGATGGTGATGATGTTTTTCTCCAGAAATTATTACTCCCTCTCTCTTTCTCTCGATCTATGAAAGGAACGTTGATTAAATGAATGGAATTTTTTTCTTCTTATGGTGAAAACATGGTAAAAACACATATATAGCCCATTTCCATTCGAGAATTAATCTCATTTTTTTTTTCTAGTTTGGAAACGCAACACACACGCCAAATACATTAAGATCCAATATATTTTCTCATGACATGATTACTGATTTAGGTTGTCGTATTAATAGGTAAAAAGAATGTGGTGAATTTTTTTTTCTTCTGCAATACAGGCTACATATATCAATATTAATTTGAATAATTTTCCACAAAAAATTATCCAATTTAGATTAGCCTCATAGACATTTATTATGGAACTTTTTTTTGCTGGAAAACAACCAACAAAGAAGAAAAAAAAACGAAAACATTACTAGACATATGAAAAATTAATGAATGAACAATGGGTGAGTAAGAATTAAGTTTCTGATGATCACAATTGATTGATTGATTAAGCATTTATTTCACCAGAGGACAGAATGGTCAACAACAACAACAACGACAACAACAAAGAAGTTGAAAAAGTTTGTAAAAACATTTGTATGTAGCATGGTTTTTTTCACGTTTACTTTTTTTTCTATACAACCAGAATCTAGGAATTTGTGGTTTCATTTTCTCTCGATTATATAATAATAATTGAAAATGATGTCTAATGATGATACTTCAAACAGCAAAAAAAAACTTTCATTTCATTTCTCAAAAAAAGAAGAAAGAAAAATTTTGTATTCTATACATACAACTCAACTTCAACTGTAATCATCATCATCATCGACATCAAGACGAATTCTTGTTTTTTTTTACTTCAAAAAAAAAAATCTCGACAAACAAACAAACAAAAAAAAAATGAAATGCTTGGACAACAACGAAAAAAAAGCTTTTATGTGAAACATGGACCGGAAAAAAGTATTAACATGTTAAGCTACTGAAAATGGGATACAAAGAAAAAAAATAACCCGTAATTAAACTGGCCCATAGTTAATCCTGGAACCACCACCATCATCATCATCATCATCATTTCATGTTCGATTTGGTAAGAAAAAAAATTTTTTTTTATTTGTTTTCCAAAATTCGATCAAGTCACGAACTTTATTATTTTCATTTCTTCGTTGTCCAGAAAAAATATTGTGAAATGAAAATTTTTCTCATTCGAACCCAACATCATCATTTGACAATGGAATTGACATGAAATTGTGGAAAAAAAAGTTTGGCTGTTTTTTTTTGTTTCGAATGAATGAACGAAAATGAATCATCGACATACATCTCAAATTTTTTTTTGTTTGACATTTCAAGTGGTTTCCACAAAGTGAACTGTAGACAAAATCATTAAAAATTTTCAATTTGAACCACCCACCAAAGAAATCGAAAATAATGAAAACTCATCGACCATTTTGATATCGATAATGAGAGAAAGAAGATAACAAAAGAAAAATCTCAGCAAAAAAAAGCATCATCATTATCGTTGTTTGTCTCATCAAATTTTTTTTGTCTTCAAAAAAGTTCACAAGAATGTTCCAGAATTGTTATTGTGTTGTCGTTGCTATGGTCAAACTGGAACATACATTTAGCACACATTTAAACTTTTAAATAATGATATCTATCTTTTGATTTTTCCGATTCAATTGGCCATTCCAATAAAAATGGATCGACCATTCTCATTGAAACAAACGATGCAAAAAATCCGATTGGCTAATCTTCTTAGCTCTGACCAGATTGTGATAGTGCAACGAAAAAGTTTTTGCTGAAAATTGTCATCATCACAAATTCGAATGCAGGATTAAAGATCATTATAAAAGAATTTTTTTCCCTGGAAAAATCCCGAAAAAGGTTTTTTTGAATTTTTTTATTTAAACTTTCTTTCCCGTTGAATTATTCATAATTATTATTGTTGATGATACCTGTGCGATGAGAGATTTGGAAATCTCGATCCTATATTTTTTCAAGTGTTTTGCCATCTCCCCTGATCCAAAACAGCAAAGTTTTTATTTCTGATTTAAAACTTTTTCACGTTTTTAATGATAATTTCTAATGAAATGAATTTTTTTTCCAGTTTTTCAGTTTTGCGTATACCAATCGATAAAATGGGATTCATGGGAAAAATTCGACCGGTAAAATGAAAATTTATTCTTGAAAAACTGGATCACATTCGAACGAACGACAACACAGCAAGACATTCTATGTAAACTATTGATCGATCAATCACGGATATCCAACCGGGGAAGAATTGTTCGATATTATGTTTGGTTGGTTGATTGTTGTGACATCCGAAACAGGTAAAATAAATAAGCTATTCTTAGTTTTTTTCTGTTTAATGAACAAAGTTATTTGTTTTCAGGCTTCATGAAACTTTACCGATCGATATACCATAACATTGACATTTTCTCATTTGTTGTTGATTGTGATCGATATATATCAAGATTATTGTCAGTTTTTGGTTTGGTTTGGTTTGGTTAGAAAATTGGAATCAATAAAATTGATCCAACATAAATGAAACAACATGTACATTCAAATAGATGACAATCTGAGATGCGCAGAATATTTGAATCTAAAATGGCCAAAAAACAAGATTTCCAATATCGTCGTAAATTATAAGATGATCACTGCGACGACAAAAGACAATTTATTTAATTGCGCAGTCAATTCTGTTCTTCAAATATAAAGGTTGGGAAATGAAAATAGTAAAAAAAAGTTAATGTCTTTTCCAACAATAGGATCATTTAACACCAACATCATCATCATCATCGATAGATGGATAACAGCAATAATTGGTCATTAAGAATTTTGGTTGATTAGAATCATTCAAGATAATTGTTGGCGATAAACTGGGATGGAAATGTTTGATAAACACATGGATCGAGAAGAGAATTTTCGCCATTTCAAACATATAAAAAAATTTGAATTTTTTTCGATGTACTGTCATCTATGAACGGTGGCCGCAAGAATCCTCACGATCGATGCACGTGTTTTTTTTTCGGCTTTAAATATTTTATAAAGTGATGATTTTAACTGAAGAAAATTCAACAAAATGGCTAAAACCATTGATGACAATGATTCAACAACAATTGATGGACAACAATTATCATTTCGTAAAATTGGTGGTTTTGATGTATTACAAGATCGTCCATTCATCACTGATGATCAAGAATCAATATTGATTATTTCGGGAAGAAAAATACGAAAATATCTTGTTAATAATGGTAATTTTATTAATGAATATCATTTTGGTATTGACGCACCAATCGTAACAATACAACGTAATGATAATCCAAATGAATGTTGGCTTGCATTCGAAAATGGTCAAATCGTTCAATGGAATTATGATGAAAATTTTCGTATCAGTGAATACCGAATACCGATCGATAAGAATCGACGATCCACGTTAACATATTATAAACGTATTGATAATATTTGTTATTTTGCAACAAAACAACGAAAAAAAGCAAATCAAATGCGATATACGCTGCAATATTATCATCAAAATGATCCTGATAATCTAATGCTTATTGATCGTTCATTGAGTTTTTCAAAAATTAAATCAAAAAATATTGCATTTGGCCCTGGTGGTCATCAATGTGCCATTATTCATCGAAATCAATTGTTTGTCTATGAAATACCTATATCACTAACAAGTCAACGGCAAATTCATCTAGAAAGTGAAAGTAAATTTTTCACATCAATTGCATTTCATCCATTTGAACCATTGTTAGCAACCGGAGATACGAATGGGCAGATTCATATTTGGAATAATATTTTCGCTAAAAAGCCACCAAAATCTGTTTTACATTGGCATAGTCAATCGGTAATGGATATGGCATTCTCACCGAATGGTACAAGTCTTTATTCAGTTGGTAATGAAATGGTTTTGGTTAAATGGAATCTTGTGGGTAAAAATTATGGACAAAAAACATTCGTTCCACGTTTGGGTGATAAAATACATTTTGTCACTACAGATACGAAAAATAAATTCGTCATTACAAGTCATGCTGATCAATCAATACATGTTATTGATACACAAATGAATGGAATACGTACGGTAATTGAAGGCTTGGCATTTGCTGGAAATCGGTCGGCTGGCTTACACTTCAATCGTCGTCTTGGTGCAATTACAATGAATGGACGTATTGGCCATTTACAATTTTATTCACCAATCAGTCAAAGACAATTATTTCAGTTTGATATTACTGAACAGAATGTTATTGTTGCACCAAAAATTGGTAAATCACGTGATCGTTCAATAAAAAATCTGGAAGATATTGATAAAGATAATTTTATACCAATTCAAGTAACAAGAATAGCTATAACTGATGATGGTTATTGGATGGCAACCGCAGAATATCGTAATGATGGTGAAACATCACCAGAAATTCGTTTGAAATTCTGGCTACTTCAAAAAGCAAATAACGGTTTTGCATTAAATACAACCGTACATTTACCACATGAAGATGATATTAATTTTATGCAATTTTCACTGCCACCACCAAAACAACAACAACGATCATTTTCGCCATTACATTTGGTTACAACAAGTATGGATAAAACATTTAAAATATGGGATTTAAAAACCAGTAGTACTGATGGTAAACAACAATGGTGGAATTGTTCTCGAAATGGATCATTAAATAATCATTCTATACCACGAATGGCATCATTTGCACCGGATGCATCATTATTGACTGTTTTATTTGGTTCGAATCTAGTGACAATGTGGGAATTGAATGGTCATTCGAGTATACGATATATACCACGTATGGATATTTTTAATATAATCAATAATAGTGATGATCAACAACAAAAGTCTATTGATAATAATCATCATATTATTTACGTTGGTTTTGGACAAAAAAATTTTGCACATTACCTCATCGAAGGTCATCGTCAAGGATTGATTGTTCGTAATGTTGTAAGAAAATTTCAAACAATTTTTGAATATCGTATTGATCAGCAACAGAAAAATGTTTTACCCATCGATTCAATTGTAGCTGAACGTGGAGAGAATATTCTAGCTTTAATAGCTTTGGATAGTATTCGATTTTTATGTCTACGACAACAGCGAGTCATTGCTTTTGTTGATTTATCGACAATGAAAAATTTTCGTGGAACAATTGTATCATCAGTATTTTGGCCTTCGGAAATGGTTATTAATAATGATGATGATGATGATGGCAAGGGTGATGATATATTCAATCGAAATTATCTTTGCATCACAGATCAGAATGAATTATTTCAAGCAATACCAATGGCTCGAAATAATAGTGGTGAAAATATTCTGGATGATTATTCACAAACCATAATGGTTGGTTCACATCGTGATTTACGAACCGAAATATTTATTCGAAATCTTGATCAACAAAATAATCGTTTAGCACCATTAATGGCTGCCAACAAGAATGATGGTGATGATGAAAAATCAAATAAACAACAATCATTGGATACGGAAAAATCGGCTGCTGAATTGATTGAAAAATATTTTTACAACATACCTTCACATGTATTACCACCGGTTATGATTATGGAAAAATCATTTCTTTCGGATTATCTTAAAACTTTACAATTATCGTCATCATCGCCATCAACAGCGATGGTTGACAATGAGAAAAAAGTTGTTGACCAGAAAAGTGATGAATCATCTTCGAATCATCACCATAGTGACAACAAAACTGATTTCAAAATTGACAATCAAAAACTAAAATTCGAATCAAATCAATTGATCGATGAGAATGGTGATAATCCAATCAAAGGAAATGATTTCTTCTGGCTCGAAAAATATATTCGAACATCATCATTGTTGGATGATAATCAGACGATAGATGGCGCTGTAGTAGATTCGAATTCTTAAAAATTCAAATTTTTTTTTTATTTTGTAAATTTAATTTTTTTTCTTTTTTGTTTTTCAATAAGAAAATGTGACATATTATGATCAATCGATTAATAAATTTAAATATTTTTTTACAATAAAATTTTCAAAAATGAACATGATGTTGATTTGATTTACGACGATTTTCCGATGATGACGGTGATGATGAAGATATTCGACAACTTGATTTCAATACAGATTTTGGTTGTGCTGGCTGTTGTTTCGGTTTTTCCATCGTTGTCGTTGTTGTTGTTACTGTAGTAATCACTTTTGTCGGTTTTATCGGCAACATATAATGTGGAATTTGTATTGGACTTTTTGTTACACGTGTTATTGTTGTTGTTACTTTACCATCAGCTGAACATAAACGTTGTGTACGTACTGTACTTGTTGTTGTTGTTGATGGTGATCCAGTTTTCGCTTTAGACGATGTCGATGTTTTTTGATCATTATCATCGTTATTATTACTGGTCAAATTAATTGGATTATTATTAACATCTACAACATCGATTGGATAACGACTAAGACGATGTAGACGTGTAAATAGACCATGATTTGGTTGACATTGAAAATAACGTACTATATGGAAAGGGTGAAATGATAAAAATGATAAACATTAAAAAACAGGTGTCATTTTTCTTGTTTATTTTGTGTCTGTGTGTTACAAAATCATCATCATTTTGATAATTGATTTCTTTGAAAAAACAATAATAAAACGACAACAACAAAAATTGACAACAAGGTTGTTGACAAGTAATTATTATTATCATTGGATAATCGTTATGTTTTCATCATCATCATCTCATCATATAATCGGCACGTTTATAATTTTTTGTTTTTTGTTTTTGTGCGTTATTAATGATGATGATGATATGAAGGAAAAAAAATGTTTTCAAGGCTTTCATAATATATTATGTGTGTTTTTGTTATTTTTTTAGTGAACAAAAATAATTTTTTTTTCGAAACACCTACCTCCATGAACGGAACCATCATTTTTACCTTCCGGTTTATCCAACACAATACCGGCCCATTCACCTCGAGCAAATTGTACATCACCAATATAGACAATATAACCGGGTTTAATACCTTGTACCCATACACGATCACCAACCATATAGGAATCTGGATCATCAATAAATGATGTTGGCAAATTATCTACTACGATACCTAAGTCGGTACATTATGATTATTAAATTTTTTAATTAATTAATCAAAAAGACATCTAATTGATTAATCTTCCAGGCTCAAAAAAAAAAAAAATTCAGACTCAATCCATTCATAAAAAACGTTATTCGAAAATGATTCGAATTTCAAAAAAAAACAGCAACAACTTACGTTTACCGATGGTCAAATTTTGATTATTCATTTTTTTTCGTTTAGTTTTCTGATAATTTCGTCGAGCCCAAAAAAAATGATAATCAAATAATAAATATGCATTGACCGATTATGAAATCAACAACAATAAAAAAAAAAACAATACACAACAACAAAAAAGAAACACCAAACAATTGTGTTTTTGTTGTTTAATCTCGACGGAAAACAAAAGATCAAAAGAAAACAAATCAAGATATATTTTCGTCGTAGTAAAATAAAACAATAAACCCAAAAAAAAATGATGACAACAAAAAGTGAAAACCTTTTTTTACAACAATTTCTTTTCCACAAGTATCGATAAAAAAAACAGAGAGAGAGAGAGAGAGAGAGAATCTCAAATATACACCATTTCTATATATACGATGATATGTTTTTGTTTTGTTTGTTCCTCATCCACATCTACCAAATACACACATCCTTCTTTTTGTACTTCTTTACATCATTGTGTGTGTGTGTGTGTAGTTAGTTAGTTATTTTATCATTAAAATTGTCTAAAATAGAAACAAGATCGCCGCCGCCGCCACCACCACTGCCATCATCATCAATTATTATCGTTATAAAGTTTCAATGTCGTACACCTGTCTTTTTTGTTGTTTGTTGTATCAAATGATGATGTTACATACATACACACACACACGTGAGATTCAGATTTTTCGCTTTGTAAGAATATTTTTTTTTCAAAGTTTTCTCTCAATAAAGGGAGCAATGACAACGCCTTTTTTATCATTTTTTTTCTTCTTTGATAAATATTTATTTTATTGTGTTGAATTTCGTTAAACAACGAGCAGGTGAAATATACTCACACCATGTTTCTATAGTTCTTTCTGTGTGTGTGTGTTTTATTTCCTTTTCTTTAACAATTCTTTTCCTATGTTAGAAAAAAAGGAGGTTGTGTGCATGTCGATAATGATGATGATCATGATTAATGGTAATTATTATTATTCGACATAATAATCATGATTATGTGGAGAGAGAGAGAGAGAGAGAGAAAGTGAATGATAACTTCTTGTTCTTCTTTTTGTTGTTGCAATGGTAATGATCATGTCAATGTTCATCATCATCATGATTATGGCTACAACGACAGGAAGTTGCTGTTGATTTAAAAAAAATTCCATTCAAATTTAAAGAAACTATGTTTGTTTTAATTTCTGGCTGCTAATTGAATTTTTTTTGATTTTCTTCGGTAGGTAAGGGGAAAGAAAGATTCATAGAGTGAGAGAGATTGCAAATTACCCCTTTCTCTATTTCTACCTAAAACTAGAAAATCGGAGAGAAAAAAATTCCTAAATCAATGAATATCATGAATGAACAAAACAAACAGCAGGGTAAATTCCCATACTATAAAAAAAACGATGAACAGGTGTTTTAGCCATGATGATCGATGATGATAATCAGTGCCGGTTATCAACAACAGCAAAAGAAAAAAAAATATAATTTTCAGAAATAATGTATGGGTGTGGCAATGATTCCACCCACCCACTTGTTATTATCAAATACAATATAAAAGATAAACATTTTAATTATTTTTCTTTCTTTTTTTTAATCAATTTTCTATAAAATAACGAGATAGTTTTTTTTAAATTACAAAGACAAAATCTAAAAAAAATGGCAAAGAAAATTTCATTTCACGATTTTATTTCCATGTTTGTTTTTGTGTCTGTGTGTGTGTGTAAGAAAAAAAATCATCATTAGCCAAACAAAATTGCAATGAATTTTGTTGTTGTTGGTTTTTCAAAGACATGATCACAATGCACACATACACACAAACCAATCAATCATTTCAATCAAATAATCAATTACACACACACACACACACACAACACAGCAGAGAGATTGTGTGTTTCTATGTATTTGTTTGTTTGAATCAAAATTCAATCGAAAATGATTGATCGATTATTATGATCCAAATGAATCAATTTTCGAATCTTAATTATGTGTGTGTGTGTGTTTTAATGATGAGATGTACATCAGACAGCAAAAACAATGAATAATTAAGAATAATTTTTTTTCACTGACTTAGAAATAACTAAAAACAGAATTGAATAGATGTGAATGTGACAATAATTATTAATGAGAATTTGTTTGTTTGTTTGTTTTTTTTGCAATAAAAATATAAATCAGTGTTCACGTGTGTGTGTATGTTTGTGTTTGTTATTTACAAAAAAAAAATATTGACTGTCTATATTTGATGACAAAGATGATAATAATGTCAATGTGTGTGTGTGTGTGTATCATAAATTGAAATCGAAACAATCATTTTTTCGAAAAAAATTCTTGCTTGAATGACCATGTCAGACACTACTACGATCGTTGGACATATGACATATACAATGGCCATATTTGGCAGTTTGTATGTGTGTGTGTGTGTGTTTGTTTATGTTTTGGTCAACAAGTTGTTATTTTATCGTTTTTTTTGTATTTTCGTATTCATTCTTGATGATCGGGTTATTGTTTTGAATTTTTTTTTTTTTTTTTGTTGAATTTTGGTTACAAAAATCAAATCAATCAAATAAAAAATCGAATGAATTGTTATTGCTAATGGAGAAAATGAAAGAAAAAAAAACTAAAAAAAATAAGTTAAAAGTGATGAAACTTTTTAAATTTTTTTTTTCACTTGCAAACATTCATCATCATTGTTTTGAGCAATAAAAAAAATTTCATTTTTTTCAAGGTGTGAAATGCAATTAATGAAGAAAATAAAATGAATGGGTGTATGGTGAATAGAATGAAATGGTCACTTTTTCTTCTACTATTTCAAAGATAAAAATCAAAGATAATGAAAATTATTCCAATGTAGTCTGACGACGTAATGCATAATGTGAATCCAATGTTTGTTTATATTTATTTTTAAATTCCGGTTTCGTAACCATCCACACGACCAATATGGTGAATATGACTAATATTACGCCAAATACATTCAATAATATTGCTATCGATGGTAATGCTGAATATTGTTGATTAACGTCTGGTTTATTATTTCTGAAAAAAGAAAGAAAAAATTTTGAACAATAATATTCATCGAATAATACACTACTTACAAGCTAAAAATAGCCTTCTCGGTAATACCAATAGCACAGATACCGGCCGATAAAGCAATATTCGTGATACCTCCAAATATATGAAACGGTAGGGTTAATTTACAATAAACAGCTGATGCTTTTGGATAATAAAATGTCAGAAATGATGTAATCACACTGATTGTCACACCGATCAATGCTGTAAGACCAAGCCATGAATGTAATGAATAAAAATGTGGTATCTTTTTATTATCATGAAATATATAAGCACTTGCAATACCAATCCATGATATGATTATAGCCGATGATTGTAGCAATAGATGTAATGTTTTCTGTCGTTTATAGCTCCAATTTTTTGTACTTCGATATGCAAGAATGCCTAAAAAAGAACGAAAAATTATTTGTTTGAAAAACAAAATTCAAAACATTCAATTCAACACATACCATTGGCATTACAAACAATCATGCCCAATGTCATACAAACAGGATGAAAATTGAAAATACTATTATCATCGAAACCAAATCCACCAATTTGTAGCATCCAACAAATTGAACAAATTATCAATGTCAGGGCCAATATTTCAACAATAACCATACATAACCAAAATAGATTATCCTGCGATAATGTTGTTATTATTGTATTGGCTATTGGGCCAAAATGTTGTACATCATCATCAACAATATGATGATTACGATTATAATTATTTTGACTATGACGATATGACATTATGGATTGGCTGGATGGATTACGATGGATTGATGATGAATTTGATGATGATGATGATGAAAAGAATTATTAGATAATTATCGACAAATTTCCGTTTGTTTGAGTGATGCCAAATTTTTTTTTTTTTTTTTGATATATCGATGAATAATTGTTGATTGATTGATCAAACAGAAACAAAAACAAAACCAAAACACACACATACATCAAATGTTATTAATCAATGTCAGACTAAAATTAAAAAAAAATAAATCTTTTTTCTTTGATTAACACTTTTTACACACATCAAAATGAATGATGATGATGATGATACATAGATTGATTGGTGTAAATGTGATGATGATGCCGTTGCTGTTGTGTGAGATAAACCGAAAAATTATTAAACTTGAGATTTGTGTTGTAATGCTTGTTTCTTGCTTAATGTTGTTGTTGTTGTTGTTGTTTAGATAAAGACAAAACGAAACGTTTTTTCTTTACCACCTAACAAACAAACAAAAAAAGCTCGGATTTCTCGGTTGTTTGTCTTCGTCGTCGTTTTTCTTTTTCTTCGCTACACAATTCAATATACAGTCATTTTAGTTTTTTTTTCGAAGAAAAAAATTATTGTTGTAGTTTCACTCATCCAGTGTGTGTATCACACCACAGTGATGGAAAAAAAAAATTCAATCAAAATTCATTAGTTGTCAATGTTTACATTATTATTATAATATAATAAAACAGCAGCCAAAACCACCCATCATCACCAAAATATCAAACATCAAACATTGTTTCTATGTTCGTTTGATTTTTGAATGTTTAAAAACAAGATGTTTTGCATAACCGAAAAAAAGAAAGATTTGCGGTTTTGTTTCGATTACTGCTGCTGTTGTCGTTGTTATTTGCTGTTAATGTGTTATATTATTATTATCATCATGTTTATTATAAACACAAAAATTTTGTGTATGTTGAATGATCAAATCTTTTTCTTTTCTAAAAATTCATCATTTTCTGTTTCTGGTAATCGATACATCATTTTTTTTTACACACAAGGATTTTTGTTTTCATCATCAATGTCGTTGTTGTCGATAGCAATAATATACACCAGCAGTTTTTTTTTACTATGTATGTTTTGTGTTTTTCTGATTTGAGATTGCAAGACATTGTCGTTGTTGTCGATTAACCATAAACAATTATTTCTTTTTGTTCAATTTATGGATATACATCATCATCATCTACATTATTATTATAACAACGTCTTCTCAACGATATTTTTTCAAGGATTGTAATGCTGATAGTGATACCATAGTGATCGTTATCGTGTTATGATTTCATATCTGAGATTATAATATCGAAGATTCAATAAAATATCATAAAAGCTCTGTTTGATTGCTAGAATCGGATGAACTTTGATTGATCATCAAATTCTGTTTTATGTATTCATTCGCTGTAGGGTTGTGAAATTCCAAAAAAAAATAAAATAAAAAATATTTTTTAGTTTTGGGACCAGTGCTGCCATCTTGTTTGTAATGTTTTTTCAATCTAATGATGAACAAGTTCCTGTTATTAATTGTTCACGAGAATTTGTTGTTGCCGGTGATGATGATGATGAAAAATTCAATAGATAATTAATAGAATCATTTAAATTTGGTAATGAAACAACATCATTATAATCATCATCAACATCATCATCACTCTGATGATGACCATTATTATTATTGTTGTTGTTTGGACGTCGACGACGTCTTATGATGGCAGGATGTTCGATATGGCTACTACTACCATGAAAATTATTCATATCAAGATCATCATCATCATCATCATCATTTTCATCAATAGTTGAAATTTGTTTATTACTAATCGGAAATTTTGAAACATTATCCATATTGACCATTGATGATGAGGATGAGGATGATGTCGATGGCGGTGGTGGTGGTTGTTGTTGTTGCGGTGGTGGTGGTTGTGGCGATTGTTGAAATTGTTTATCATTCAATGATGATTGATTATTTAGATCAATTAGAAAGGCAGTTGTCGATTGTGGTGATTGTTGTTGTTGATTTTTAATGATCATTGGTGTTGTCATTCTCAAATAATTATTACTATTACTATTGGCCGTCATACGACTTGTTGTTAATGCTGTACGTACACGATTTGCATTATCATTACTATCTAAACCATTCGATATTTCTTTGACACGTTGATATTCTTGTTGTAAGATTAATTCATTTGTTAGATATGCATGTTGACGCATCTGTTGTCGTAGTTGTTGTGGTATATCCGGTATTAACCAACGCATCATTGATGTAACGGCAGCGATAATATTTTCAAATATAACAACAAATAACAAACGGAATGCTAATAATTTATAATAAAATGATGTAAATTTATAACGTGAATTTGTTTCAGCCCATGGTGGTTCACGATAATCTGGATATAAACAATATGTTAACTTGGATTCATCATAACCCAATTTCAGATGTTCATTAACAACTTTAGCTTCAAAAAATGAAAGTGTTGAATTAACATAACCGTTGAGTGCACCATGTTCGAAATAATAAATTAATCGTGGTACGAATTCCGTTGTGAATGCAATGATCATTGCATTCGTTATGACGGATAATTTACATATTGTATCCAATATTCGATACCATATTCCAATATTTTTCACTCTGCAAATAAAGTAAATTTGAACTTTTTTAATTAAAAAAAACCAAATCAACATTACCTTTGAGCAACTGGTCGTCTATATACGGTAATCATTTTTCTTGCATCCAAACGAATTTCAAATACATTATTAATTAGTGCAAATAATGGTGCCAATGGGAATGCTGATACAAAAATTGTGACAAAACCAAATTGTATAACCATTTCTAAATATTCATAAAATAATGATGTTGGCAGCCACCGTGTCAGTAGAAAATCATCTTCCCATTGTGGTACATTAAATCGAGTTACACGATTACGATTATCACTTGTTGAACGATATTTCCAACGATTAAACATATTATATAAAAATGGCATACACAGTTCAATTGCTGCACTAAACATTTGACGACCAATCATAATGATACTTAATTGAATGGCTAATTCTAATAGGCATCCACCTGTGAAAATAAACAACAAAAAAAAATTGAATTTGAAAATTTCGAAAACAAAAAACGAATCCAATTCACTCACCTGAAGCACATTCTTCTTGTGTCAATGACTCATCATCAAATTCACCAGGATTTCCAATAAAACGGCCTTTAAAAAAGGCAATATAAAATATTGATGAATAATAATTGACAAATTGTAATAGAAACATTTTCAATGTTAAGGAATTATCAAATTCCGTCTGGGTACGTGGCATTTCCAATTCCGTTAGATAATTGGCTATTCTTGAATATAGATTATTCAATATCAGAATAAAAATTAAATTCAATCCAGCAGCTGAAGATGATACAACAATTGATGAATATTTCTGCAGAAAACCAATATCAATTTTACGTGATTTTCCTGGACGTGTATCAGTTTTTTTGAAACGAATAAATGAACGTATCGTTGATCGATAAACAATAACCGAAACAACGGAACCCATAGCGATAAGAATTAGAAAGAATACGATTGAAGCAGACAGGACCGTATACGGTAATTGACGACGCCAAAATGGTATATATGGTTCATACATTCTTGTAATAACATTCAATCGTCGATTGCTTACATTCGACAGCCGGGCTAGATATTCGGGTCGTGGATATTCTTCGACAGCATCAAAATTTGATAAATCCCAACGATACGTGATTCGAGCTGAATAACGTTTCCACATTTCTAGATAAACCGTAGCCCATAATGACATGAAGATGGCGAAGAATACCGTAGCTGGATTATCGAATAGATACGTGGCTTTGGCATAGATACATGAATCCGAAAAACGGGTAAAATTACAATCATGTGCACATTGTGGACACATCAGATAATGATCATAGGTATTATTACAAATTTCTTTCGATGGTATATCTTTATCCAACGTGAAGAAACCAAACAAGAAACAAAGAACACCAACAACAGAAGCTGGTATCAGCATTGATGTATAGAAACCAAGCCATGCAAAATACAATGCAATTTTGACACCAAAATAATTTTTAATCTCATCCAATGGTTGATGATGAAATGCCATTTTTATTGATGCCCAATTCTGTATTAATTGCATCCGTGGTGAACGATAATCAGCATTAACTTTACCTTCATGTAATGGATATGCAGCCGTGTAAACACGATCGGATAATAATTTATTTATTCCGAATTCGGTTACATCATCTTGTTTGCTTGAAAAACTTTTCCGTTTCAATATGAATTCAATAACTTGTGCACGTTGTGCCGGGGAGAAGAATTGTTCTTTTTGCGGTGGTATATCAAACAGATATTCTTTATCCTTTGAATATGCCGCAGTAAAACGCATTGAATGTACTTCATCATCATCGAACAACATTTTCCATGTTGTTTGCATTGTACGCATTGGCATTTTCAAACGCATAATTTCTGCATAACGAGTTACTACACTCCATGGTGCATAGATTTTTGTAAAAACATGTTGTGAATCATTAATTTCTTCGGCCATTTCTAGATGAAGTCCTTCATCTTTCAAATTAAACTATTTGTTGGTTGTATGTGTGTGTGTGTGTGAGAAAAAAATTATTATTGATTCAATGGGAATTAGAAAAAAATCAATTAATCGAAACATACCTCAAATACAGATCGTTGTTGTATAGGTTCAACTTCTTCACCTTTTGTCTGATTCGGATGCAACGGTTTTGCGTGGACTAGAACGAAATCTACACGACGTTTTCCATCTTCAAAATAATGACTTAGTAATGTTGTCTTATTTTTCATTCGTTCCTTATTTATCTCTTCCGTTGTTTTTTCCACCATATTATTCAATGAATTTGTTGAACGTGATTTTTTATTCTCTTGTATTCGTGGAAATAAAAGATTATCCAATTCTGATAATCGTTTAATATTTAATTCCTCAAGTATTTCAGGTGATTTTAGCTGTTTTGTTGACATTGTTGTCGTTGAACTAGTTGTTGTTGTTTGATCGTTTGGTATCGATCTGCGATGACAATGTTTGGGTGGTTTTGCCCATGTTTCTGTTTCCGATGTTGTTTGTTTTCGTTGATTCATTCGACTTGGAGCTGAATCATTACGATTAATTGTTGGATCGAAAGATGAATATGAACTAAATAGATCGCTACGGTTAGCTATAATTCGATTAGCTATATAAGGGTTTTGTGAGAGAAAAAAGAATTCGAAAAATAAAAATGAAACACATACACAAACATCGTTACTTACTTAAACCGGATATAATATTATCATCGGTAACAAATGAAGCGTTTAAATCATAGCTTGTTTTTGGTCGTTGTTCTGATTGTTGTTGTTGTTGATTAACTGATGAATTATTAAGAATTGTTTTTAGATCAGAATTCAAATGAATTTTATGACCACGATAATAATAATCATTGGATAATTTAGGTAAATGATTGGAATCACTAATAAATAATGGTGGTGTTGCTGATTGAAGAAATGTTGATTCCATATTGATATTAGGATGTCGCCGTTTACACGATGTTGATTGTTGTTGATTTCTTTGTTGTTGTCGATCAGGTAAAGCAATCGATATTGATTCTGATTGAGATTTTCGTCTTCTTTGTTGTTGTTGTTGTTTTGTTGGTGATTCTTGTGATGGATAATTAATGTTAACACGAGCCAATTTGAAACGATTCATTTCATTTCAAAAATGTACATTTGAATCGAAAGAATATTTGTTGCCACCAACAAAAAATCAAAGAATTTTTTTTTTAAATTTCGTTTCGCCTGGTTACAATTGGAGATGAAAACAAAAAGTCATATGCTTTGTTTTCACGAAAACGATCAAGGATTCTGAAAATCTGAATCGTTTGGTTCATTTGATTTTTTTTTGTTCTTCAAATTTTCATTTTCTTGTTGAAAATTTTCGTTTTGAGCGAAATGATGATGATGATGAAGGAAAAATGAGAGCTTTTTTTAAAAAAATGTCGAAATTTTCTTGACGTTGAATGCGCCGATTTCAGAAAATAAAGCCAACATTTGTCATGTTTAAAACATATATAGGCGTCGCATAGATTCTTTTCGTTCCCACATCGATGATGATGATGATGATGATGATTGACGATATACGAATGTTGTCAGAAAAAAATGAAAAACGTTTGTCACGGTTTCAACGGTTACCTGGCTAAAATTCGATCGATCTTGTCTCCCAAAACGTTGTTGCTATTTTTTCTTTCTTTTTCTTTTCATCATAAAAAAAATTCAGGCAAAATCAATATGACCAAGACAACCGAAAAAAACGATTAAGATTGGTAGCTTGTGACATTCGAAAATGTTGAAAGAAGATTGTGTGGTTTCCGTTTTCAACATTTTCATTTTCATTTTCATCATCAATTTTCAGGGTTAAATTCATTATTAAAGCAAACGTCGATGATGATGAAGATGATGATTGCGTGCAAGAAACAAAAAAGAATACTGGGAAAAACAAAAAAACTTTAAAATGAATGATATTTGGATTTGAAAAATTTGAAATTTTCGTGAAGATTCGTTTTAGTGTTCCACAGAATTTGTGATGAATGGATTGATCTATTTTCATCATCATCATCGTCGCCATAGTTTTGTTCGTTTATGATGATGATAATGATTTCATTTGAATAATAAAAATGTTCCATAAATGTCATGATGATCGTTTTTTTTTCTTCTGTTTGTTTGGCTGAATTTATCAATAATTATTCGATAGATCGATTTAAAAGTCTTCATTTGGGCTATTACTGTATGCATGATAAATGTAAATGTTAATTAATTAATTTATTCAAACTTGATTGATATGATGATAAAATGTACCAAAATATAATCATACCTTGTGGATTTATTGAAATAATATTCAGGTCTAGTTCATCATCATGGATCGATTGCATTACAAGAAAAAGAAAAATCGATTGATTTTGAAAAAATCTCGAAATTCATTCAATTCAATAAATTGATAGCACAAACGCTATCTAGATTCGAATATTCGAATCATTTGTTTTTGGGTCACGTGATGATATATACTATATGAAGGATATGTCATATGATCATGTAATGATCATCAGGTGACATTCACGAATTTATAAATTGAAAAAAAAAAATTTCCATCAACTAGAAAAATGACTTGAAAACGGAAGAAAAAAAATTTCATTCAACCACTACTAACGCTAACTATTAAATACTGAAAATCAAATTTAACAACAACGAGGATAGGCAACAACAACAAAAAAATGCGAAATCGAAGCAATTCTACCGTGCGTCTTGATTATTATCAACGTCTTGTGTATAAAACTATTCTTATTCATCAGGTTAGTTTTTGTTTTTATCGAATAAAATAATCTGGACAATTTTTTTTCCCACTTAGAATCCAGTTACCGGATTACTGCCAACAGCAACTAGTCATCCATCATGTTTGAATCATGCATGGGTTCGTGATAATCTTTATTCAATAATGGCTGTATGGGCATTATCAATGGCATATAAAAAGAATGCCGATTTTGATGAAGATCGCGCAAAAACCTATGAATTAGAACAAAGTTGTGTGAAAATGATGCGTGGCTTACTTGTTGCAATGCTACAACAAAAGATAAAGTTGAATCATTCAAAGAATCACAATCAACATCGGATGCTCTGCATGCAAAATTCTCTGCATCCACTATGTTACCAGTGGTTGGTGATCATGAATGGGGTCATCTACAATTAGATGCTACATCACTTTTCTTGCTGATTCTTGCGCAAATGACTGCATCCGGTTTGCAGATTATTTTCACATTAGATGAAGTTGCATTCATACAGAATCTTGTTTTCTATATTGAATCAGCATATTGTATACCAGATTATGGTATTTGGGAACGTGGTGATAAAACAAATCATGGCCTGCCAGAATTGAATGCCAGTTCCATTGGCATGGCAAAAGCAGCATTAGAAGCTATGAATGAATTGGATCTTTTCGGTGGTAAGGGTGGTCCATCGTCTGTGATACATGTATTACCGGATGAAATACAAAAATGTCACGCTGTTCTTGAATCAATGTTACCACGAGAATCGAATTCTAAAGAAGTGGATGCCTCATTATTGTCAATCATAAGTTTTCCTGCATTTGCAGTGGAAAATCCACGATTAATTCAACGTACACGCGATGAAATTATCGAAAAACTTGGTGGACGTTATGGTTGTAAACGTTTCTTACGTGATGGCCATAAAACTGCGATTGAAGACCCAAATCGTCTCTATTATGAACCATCCGAATTGAAAGCATTCGAAAACATTGAATGTGAATGGCCATTATTTTTCTGTTATCTTGTAATTGATGGTGTATTTTCCGATGATCATCAAATGGTTACAGAATATTCTGATCGTTTAGAATCATTATTAGTCGAAGTGGATGATATGTCACTTGTACCAGAAATGTATGCTGTACCAAGTCATCTAGTCGAAGCGGAATATCGTCAACCACATTCCCAGGATCGTCTAGTAGCAGGTGGTTGTCCATTTATGTGGAGTCAATCATTATATATTGTTGGTAAATTACTGCAAGAAGGTTTTATTGCACCAAGTGAATTGGATCCATTGAATAGGCGATTCTCAATGTGGAAAAAACCAGATATCGTCGTACAGATTGTTGTATTGGCTGAAGATGAAAAAGTCCAAGAATGTATGGCACAATATGATATTCATGTACAAACCATCAATGAAGTTGCGCCTATTGAAGTACAAACAGCTGAAACATTAGGACATTTATATTCATACCTGGGTAAGAATGAAAAACTTGGTCTTTCTGGTCGTTGTTCACGTGAAGTTGGAATTCTTTCAACAAGTAAACTGTATTCCTTATTGGATAAAGTTTTCGTTTTCACGCCGCAAGCATTGGATCGATGGAATTTCTACACAGTGAATGATGTTAATCTATTGGCCAGTAATTTTCGTCAAAGTGTTTACATGCTAAAAAGTAATTGGCGTGAATTAGGTCGTCCAACATTGACGATAATATTGTATAGACAATTCATGGAAAATGATCGTCCACCACCAGCAATTATATCGACATTTAAAAAGATTAAAAGTGGCTACCTAAATGGTACTCGTGTTGTTTATGGAAATCTGGCCGATTTTCTCAGTACTTCGTGTATAACGAATCTGAGTTTTTTAGCCAATATTGAACAAGGTGTACCAGATCAATCGAATCCAATGGTACGATCATTTCTAGAACGGCAGCTAAGTAAACCATTCTCACCATTAGTCAAACTGCGACGACAATCATCGGGTAAACGAAAAATGAGTGTTCGTTCAAGAAAATCGGCCATTACCGGCATTATAAAACGTACGCGTTCAATTCAAATTGATCAATATGATCCAGGTATGTATCTTTGTTTTATTAATTAATCATTTGAAATTTAATTGCTAAATAATTTAGAATTACAAAAATTACGCAACACATACGAAGCACGTAGCCAAGATTCGAATGTATCATCATCATCACCACCACCACCACCAACAACAGCAACAACAACAACACAGATGGATGAAACAATATCTGAACCATTCACAAATGTTATCCAAAATAGTGGCAGCATTGAAGATAATAAGCAAAATGATGATGAATCAATGTTGGCGATGTCGATGGATCAATCTGGTTTAGATCGATCACATTTAAATAAATTGAATAAATTGTCCGATCTAACAATAAATGAACATCTGACTGATGAAGAATTGATGAATATGTATAAAGAATCCGAGATTCTTGAAGAACAAGCTGATATTTTACATTATTTGTTTTATAATAAGTAAGTTTGATTCGAATTTGATTGATTAATTGATTACATCCTACATAGAAATCTAGATTGGAAAACCGGAATCATATCGAATAATCAGATAATGACATTACGTGATCTAATGAAAGATGTTTATGAAAAAGCATGTACGGATAAAAAATGGGCATTAGTACGGCATTCAGCCGGAATGCTCGGTAAACAAGGTGAAGATTTAGCCAAATCTGTTGCTGATTTAATTGTTAGACAAAAACAAATAACGATTGGTATGCCACCACATTATGAACATGCAATTACAAGGCCATTACCGATAAAAGAGTTACGACAAATTATTGATCAAGCACATTGTCGTGATCAAAGTACAGCAATGTTGACACATGAATTAATCATTTATCTATCCATGTTTATACGTACGGAACCACATTTATTCGTGGAAATGTTACGTCTACGGATTGGATTGATTATCCAGGTGATGGCATCAGAATTGGCACGTGCATTAATGTGTGATGGTGTTGAAGCATCGGAACATTTATTGAATTTAAGTCCATATGAAATGAAAACACTTTTACATCATATAATCAGTGGAAAAGAATTTACCATTCGTAGTGGTAAGTGATTTGGATTTAATGTTTTCTAAAATAAATTTTATTTTTTTTTGCAATACTAAATAGCTCGAAGTGGTCGAATATCGATTATAAATGATCGAATGTTAAGCCGTCGAAGTATCATAACGGATGATGGTGATGATTGTATCGATAATAGTAATAATGCTGCTGCTGGTAGCAGTTCTGCCGCTGGTGATCAACTTGGATTCGAATCTGATCGTCATGGTCAATGGTTACGTCGTCGACGGCTAGATGGTGCATTGAATCGTGTTCCGATTGGATTCTATTCAAAAGTGTGGAATTTATTGGAAAAGGTACTTGACAGTTTTGGGTTTTGAGTGAAAAATTTTTTATTTTTTTTTTTAATTCTAGTGTCAAGGAATTGCTATTGAAGGACGAATATTAATGAATCAATTAACAAGAGAAATGACGGCAGGTGAATTGAAATTTGCCTTACAAGCTGAACAAGTTTTAAATTCTGTACCACAGCCTGAATATCGACAGTTAATTGTTGAAGCATTGATGATATTGACAATGTTGGTGGAAAATATGCCTGATATAAATTTGGAAAAAGTTATTAATGTTGAACAATTAGTACAACGGGCAAATCAAATATTTCTCAATGATCAAGCTGAATGTGGTGGTGATGCCATCCTGTGCTGTGCTGCATCACGTAATCATAATGGTGATGAAAACAATGGTGAACAATCAATGGGTTATGATTGTGCCGGTGCGGCACAAATTTGTCAACATTTTTATGATAATGCACCAAGCGGTAATTATGGTACAATGATCTATCTAATACGTTCGACAATTGAGTCATTCGAAAATTGTTTCGATGTCAATCATGATTCATTGGATTGTAAAATTCAATGAGAGAAAATGAAATCGAGATTTTTGTTTTTGTTTTTGAGCAGTAACGAGAAAAAAAACCCTCCACTATAGCCACAATCTCATTTCCTCTCTACTAAAGCCCGGATTTTTTTTCTCTCTCCCGGTGAAAAGTAAATAACCATTGTAAAAAAAATGTTATAAAAAGCAGTTTTTTTTAGCCATATGCCGGCCCCGGTGTTCATCAATAATAAGATGATGATGATGATGATTATGAAAAAACTTGTTGCTCTCACTCTAACCACCCCTAAGACAGCGAGAAACAGAGATCATCTTTCTTTTTTTTTAATGTGTCTCTGATGATTATAACGATGATAACGATGAAAATGTTTTCGTCATCAACGTTTGTCTTTTATTTTTTTTGTTGTATAAAAAAATGTCTCTCATTTTTTTACCTGTTTTTCCAAAGAAACCATCATCGGGAGAGAAATCATTTTCTTTCTTTTATTTGATTGGAATCAATATTTTTTTCCATGAAATTGTTCTTGTTTTCTCATTTTTTTTCATCATCGACCGGAACCGGATTGAAAGTGACTCGTTTTACCATCAAAAAAAAAAATACTTTCTTTCACAGTGAAAATTATTATGGTAGTATTGATTGATTTTTTGAGATGAAAAAAAAATCATTAATCCGTACATCACTCTATATAAAAATACATTGAAATAGAAGGTAAATTTACAGTAAGACTTCGCTTTTGCTTCACATTTAAAATTAATATAAAAAAAATTAACGCCGGATTAAGTGGATGTTTGTAAGTACTGTACATTGAAAATTGGAAAAAACGTTGGTTATTATAGAATTAAGATGATAAAAATAGGAATCAGACAAAAAAAATGGAATTATCTGTCGTATCGATAGTTTCGTTCATCATCATCATCATCGTGCACACACACGCACAAATTGGGGTTGTGTATATTTGCGGCCGCCATTTGGTCATTATGAAAAATATCGATTGATGTTGGTAGTTGTAGTAGTTGGTAGTGGTATAGTTTCACAAGCCGGCATCTATTTCATCATATCACATATCTTAGCTTCTGGCCGAAAGGCGTGTGTGAGTTTATTCTTTCAAACATAAATGCTACTACCCCACATTTTGTATTTTCAGAAATGAAACAAATCAACAACGACAAAAAAAACATGAATTGATGTTGGTAGTTGTAGTAGTGGTAGCAGTCAGACATTTACAACGTTGATATTTTATATAATTTTATATGCTACGTGTGCCTTTCATATGCATGAACTCTACAAACTTTTACTACAAACGCATAAGTATAATTTCATCCTCCTCACACTCAATGAGCAATACAACAATAATTAATACTACTACCATAAACAGTATATGTATGTGTGTGTGTACGTTCGAATTGATTATTAAAACAGCATTGCCACATTTTCACAAAAAAAAAAAAAAAAAATCTCACATCCACGACGAAACAAAAAAAATCTTAGAAAAAGTGTGTAAAAAAAAACTGGGAACATCAATTCTTGCATTTTTTTTGAAGTGAATTTTTATATTTATAATAATATATATAATATATAATATATTTATTAATTAAACTGAAAACTTTGTTTTCAAAGTGTAAAAAAAGTTTATTGTTTTTTTTTCATTTGATGTGAAAATAAGCTCAAAAAAAAGAAAATTATCGATAATATTTTGAAATTAAATCCTCAAATTCGATCAATTACTTGTGTGTTTGTCCTCAACATTTTTCAACTAAAGAATTCGATTTCCACACACACACACACACACACACGTTAACATACATCATCTGTTGATATATTTATATAATTAGAACGGAAACCAATAAAATTTCCGTTTCAATTTTTTTTTCGTTAATCAATCCACCATTCAATCTGTATATGCACACACAAACCACACACCCATCATCATCATTATAAAATCCACCCACTTGTTTTATCAAAAATTTTCATTATGATGTTTATACATTTTGTGTGTGTATGAGCTTGAAATATTTGAGAATTTTTTTTTTGTAGGAAAACAAAACAAAAATTCAATTTTGACCCTCAGCCATTTTCACACACACAAACACACATTTCATTATAATTTGTGCGTGTTTTTTAATTGTTTTTTTTTGCAAATGCATGTGACTCATCCATGACTACAAATTCAATCTTTGAATGTGACTGCAGTTTTTCCGTGTGTGTGCTTGTGACTAAATAGTTCGAATTATAATCGTCGATTGATTGATTATTGAATTCTTGAAGATTTTTTTCTTGGATGAAAAAAAACCTATTTTTTCTAATTTATTGGTTATATATATCCATTATCAAGAATCTTTTCTTCTCAAATATTCGAAGATTGTAAATATTTTTTTTTGTTTTTTTTTTGCTGTTCAACCGGTTAAAGAATATAACGTGTTTCTTCTCTTCAGCTTCTTCTCAAAGCCATTTTTGTCTTGGTTTTTGTTTTCTTGATTGTGAAAATTTATTTTTTCAAATCTTTACACACACACACACCGCAATTGATCAATTTTTTTTCTCTGAGCTTCTGATAATTTTTTCCAATTTACAAATTTTTTTTTTTTTTGGAAAATAATTTACTCACTCATTTTCACTGTTTGGTGAAGAAAAATCGGTAACTGAATTTTGAATTGTATTTTTTTCAACAAATTTTTAATTTCTCTTTTTAATCCTTGATAGAATATAGAATCTACTACAAGCAAAAAGAAGAATAGGATTGATTGGTTTTTTTCTCTTATAAATATTATTCAAATGATTGATGATAATATAAATGAATAATAATGAATAGTAACCAAAAATCCATATCAAAACATCGTACCGGTGGTGGTGGTGGTGGCGGCAGTGGCCAATCACAAGGGTAAATTATTATTATCAACTGATTATGATGAATTGATTGATTTTGTCTATGTTTTTTTTTATAAAGTAATCAACGTGGTGATTACCAACGATCCAATCAAGATCGCTATCAATCACACGTAAGTATTATATATTTTGATTTAAAGTTTCAATTTCACTTAATTTCGTTCCATTTTTCAAAACAATCAAATCAAATAAATAAATAAACTATAGGCAATTCGATCAAATAATTCAAATGTAACACAAGCTTGTATAAATGCTGTTGCTATAAATCCAGCAGCCGCAATGAATCAAACACAATTGATTCGTAATTATAATACAAATCAACAAACACAACCTGCATTGATTGGTCATCAACCAGCAAGCATACAGATGGCTCATCTGAATCCGCAACAACAACAACAGCAGCAGCAGCCAACTGGTGGTGGTGGTGGTGGTGGTGTTCCAACAGTGGTATCATCACAACAAGCAATGTCTGGCATGATAAATGCAGCAGCAGTTGCAGCCGTTGCACAACAACGGTTTCAAACATTTACGGCACAAGCACCACAACAACAACAGCAGCGTATACCAACGAATCATCAGAATTCTATTCGCCCATCATATAATCATCCAATGCGTGCTGGTAGCGGTGGCGGCGGAAATAATGCTGGAAATATACCTAATCATCATCACAATAATATACAATCATATGCGGCAATTCCGGCTACAGCAGCTGCTGCTACGATTCCAAATTATGTTTCATATGCACCGAACCAATCCTATGGTTATCATCATCATCCTCATCATCATCATCCTGGAACATTTCATCCGAATCAGTTTTCTATACAGAATCCTGTTCATCATCAACAAGTAAGTATTTGGGTTTTTTTCTTTATAAAATATTTAATCAATTGTTGCTTGCTGTTTTTCTTTCAGATGACCTACGGATATCATCATCAGCCTATGTTTTTTTTACCCGATTGTATGTATTTGAAATTTGTTTTTTGAATTTTTCTTAAATTTATACTCAAATAATTATTATTAATTAGATGCAAGATTTCCATATCAATTGCCGGCCAACATGCAAACAAATGCAGCAGCTGCTGCTGCCGATTTAAATAATCAGCAATCGGCTGGTACATCATATAAACCAAATGATGTTCAACATCATCAACAACAGCAGCAGCCTCAACAACAACAACAACAGCCGGGTACTACCGGTCAACAGCCACAATCACAACATCAACAGCCACAGATATCTATGCCAATACAGCCACAGCCAATTAAACACCAACGTGAAAAGAAACCATTAGAAATATATGATGATAATGGTGTTAGAATTGATCTGAGTCAATTGGCATCCTTGGCGAAAAATGTTTGTATTTTTTTTTTTTTTGAAATTTTCACATGATAATCTATTCTATTATGACGCTTTCATTGATTTATTTCGATAATAATAGAAACCGACTACGAATATTACGTTGAGTAATAATAATGATAATATTCCTAATGTTGAGAATCAATCAAAAACGGAAAAGAATGTTGAAAATACAACGAGAATAAAAACGGAATTTAACGGTCCTGTTAAAAATGATGGCACAAAATTGCAAAATACCGATGACAAAACTATCGATAAATCCAATAATGGATCTATCGATGTTAATGACGAAAGTAAAAGTGATGATAATTCTGTATCATCAGCTGTTAATGATAAACCGAATGAATCGCAACAACAACAAACAACGCCAATTACATCATCTGAATCATCATCAGCTGATGGTCATCCGAAATTATCCTGTGATATGAATAATGAAATGACGATACCAACTACAACATCAACTGCTGATTTATCACCATCATCAATTAGTAATAGTGATCCGAAACAATCGAAAATTAATGATGATGGCCAAATTATTGATGAAATAACTGCTAAAGTTGATAAATTGGCAATGAATAATAATGATGATAATTCAACAACATCAACAATAGATGGTGATTTTGTTAAAGTTACTGGTGATGGTGATACTGTCGTTGTTGATGCTAATGCTGCTGCATCTGTCATCGATGGCGCAGATGATGGTAAAGAATCTTTAGAAATGAATTCTACTACTTTACGTGGTTCGTATTTTGTTTCTTTTCATTTAACAGTGTACTGGGAGAATGAGATAGAGAATTTCATCATCGACAAAATAATATTATATTCATGCAATGAAATCGAAGATGCGCGACTATTTTAGTGTATACATGTGTGCGTATTTGTCTGTATTGTAAGGAAACCTTGTTGTTTCTTTCCATTCTTCATTCCTCATCATCTTTTCGTTTTTTTTTCGTCTTTACTAAATTTAGTTTTGTTTTTTGCATTTTTATATATTCAGAATGAAATCATTCTCTCATATTGATGATTAGGTTAAGTGTTTTAGTTTTTTTTAACTTTTGAAAAACGTGTGTGTGTTTGTATGTGTTGATTGGTGTAACATTTTTTCATTTTTTGGTCAAATTCAACAACATTGAAAAAAATGCGCTGTTTTTGATTTTGTTTTTTTTTAAGCAATTCCATTCTCTGATAATAATTCCATTTTCAAACACAAAAAATAATGATAATGAAATAGGCATGAATATTTCTTTTAAATTTTTGCAATTTTTTTTATTTTGGTTCATCGTTTGTTTTTTTAGATGAAAACAAAAAATCATCTACCGTCGCCCATTTAACAAAAGGTGAAGAATCAATTTCAATTCAACAAACATCCACAACTACAACTGGTGATATGGAAAGTAGTTTTGAAATTATTGATCATATTACATCTGATCTTTCAATACCAACTACCACGACGAAGACTGTTACTGCTGCTGCTGGTGCTGCTGCTGTAGATTTAGTCAATCATGATCGTGATAGCCGAAATGCTACACCTGAACCTCCGTCTAATGTTGTTGAATCACCATCCAAATTGAGACAGAAACCAGCAACTACTTTTGGTATTGGCGGCAATAATGATAATGTTGTTGCTGCTGTTGAAAATACAGCCAATAACAATTCAATAGTGATTGATTCACGGCAATATTCACGTGATGCATTATTGAAATTGCGGTCAAATGCAACCGAATTGGATCTAACACATTCAAATCAGGAAAATGTACACGATATTATTCGTAAGGTATGTGTTAATGTTTTGTTGTTTTTTCTTTTATTTTTAAATTATGTACGTTATATACTTTTTTTGAAAAAAGACTTCTCCAAATATACAAACCGATTCATTGCTTCCATTATATGCTCGACAAAATCGTCCAATGAATGATAATACATTACAATTTCGCAATAAATCCATGGTATGTTAAATTGATTTTGATTTATTGAATTTATCTTACTATGTGTGTGATATATAGGTACAACCATCAAGACGGCCATCACAACCATCAAGACATTATTCCGAACAAAAATCACGGAAAATTTTTTCCACATCATTGTATTCGGATTATCCACATAATTCGGATGAATGGCGTCCAGGTAAAATACAATCTGAGGATCCGAATGAGATTGAAACTGGAAATCTATTGAAAACTGTCCGTTCCATATTGAATAAATTGACGCCAGAAAATTATAAAACATTATTGGTACAATTTAAAGCACTGAAAATTGATACAAAAAATCGTCTTGTACGTGTTATCGATTTGATTTTTGATAAAGCCGTTGCTGAACCTGCATTTGTCGAACAATATGCCGGATTTTGTTCCGAATTAATACACATAAAAGTGAATGAAGAGAATGAAAACAATGAAATGGTACAAGTGAAATTTAAAAATCTGCTCATTTCAAAATGTCAACATACATTCTTTGAGAATATGTATTCGCATATAACCGATCTAATACAAGAGGTTAAATCAACGGAAAATCAGGAAAAGTTGAAACAACTAGAAGAACAATTAGAAGAAGAAAAAATGCTTGCACGTAAACGATCGGTTGGTAATATCAAATTGATTTCCGAACTATTCAAGCTAAACATGTTGAATGCATCAATTATGTTCGCTTGTTTTACTTATTTATTGAAGAATTTTGTTGAATATAATCATGAAGAATATATTGAATGTCTTTGTGCCTTGATCACTAATATTGGTAGAACATTAACGGATCAGATAAGAATGAAATTTCAAGATCACATTCCAAAATTTGACACTTTATTCAATCAATTGGAAAAGATATATAATGAAGAATCCGAAACAAAAGTCTCTCCAAGAATTCGTTTTATGATTTTGGATCTATTAGAATTACGTAAAAATAAATGGATACCACGTCGTAAAAAGGAAGGACCGAAATTAATATCACAGGTACATGCCGATATGGAAATGCAACAACGAATGAAAAATGAATCAGCAAATGAAATGAAAAAACGACAGAAACAACAACAGCATCAACAACATTATCAACATCAAAATAATGGTAAATATTTTTTGCGAAAAAAATATCACTAATGTTTCCCTATCTGATTTTGATGATGATGGATAGCTCAAAATAACGATGAATGGCAACAGGTAAATAAACGTAAATCACAACATATGAATGCCCCGATGAAAAGTTTTAATTTTTCTGTTTTAAAAAATATAACGGTAAGTTTCTTGGTTATGGCCTTAATCTGTATTTTATAGTTGAATATTTTTTTCTATTTGTATGTTTTTTTTAGAGTTCAAGTGCATCGAAAAATGAATCTGGATCATCATCTGGATTTTCCATGTTTACATCCGGTAGTCATGGTGGTTCAAATTCGGGTTCACAGAGTCGTTCATCATCGACAAATTATGATAATAAAAATTTTGGTTCGTCCAATGATAAAAATCAACGGTATGTTGTTTTTGTTTTAAAGTCGTGATGTGTTTTTGGTTATTTTCTGATATTTCTTTCCTTATTATAGTACCTTCCATGATAGCCTAAATGCAAAGAATTATCCGCAACGTGGCCGTGATGAACGTAAAGTATCAGATGTAACAAATTATCGTCAGATGGATAAACATCATCGTAGTGATAGTCAACAATCGTTGAAATCATCATCATCGATAACAGCCAATTTGTCGCCAACTCCTCGATCAGATTCGATGGATAATTTACGATCATCATCTGCTGCTTCTGCTGTACCGGTATTGAATCCAATGGAATTTCAGGAACGCATTTCAGATGCATTGAAAGAATATTTAAAAAAACAAGATTTTGAGGAATTTTATAAAGATGTTCAATCGTTTTGCTCAAAAACAAAATGTGCCGATTTTATTTCGGAATCAATAGTGTTATCACTTGATAAAACTAGTCAAGAATATAATCCACGTGAAAGATTTGGACAATTTTTGGGACAATTTTTTTGTTCATCATTCTGTGAGTGTTCAGATATTTTTGAAAGGTTTGTTTTTTCGTTTTCTTTGTTGAATCTATGATATAATCTAATCTAATAATAATATATATTGTCCACCACAAACAGCCTAAAAGCCGTTTTCGCTCAATACGAAGATTTGAAAATAGATTTACCAAAATTTTTTCAATTTGTTGCCGAAGTAATTGCTTATGCAACATTGATTGTTTATGAAAAAGGTTCATCAGCAGCAACAAAGAATGATATAATGAAAGCTGTTGTAAAAGCATATAATGAAATTAGTGGCAGTGAAAGTGCCTTGTTTCGTGATAGTCTATTAAAATCAATTGAACAAAAGGTATGCGTAGTGTGAATCCGAAATGAATCAGCCATTAAACGATAACTAATAATTGTTTCTTTCTATTTTAATTTTTAGAATAAAAAATGTTTTGAAGAAATAAGGCCATATTTTCATTCAACACAACAGGCTGAATTAGATAAATATGATAAATTAGATGATATAATTGATCAATATATGGTTACGGCCGATTTGGATCAATTAAAATCACAGATAAAGGTAATGGGTTTGTTTTGTCTCTGAATGGATTTAATATTTCTTTTTTTTTTTATTTTGTTTTGAAATTTAGGAAAATTTTTCCCAAAATGAAACCGATGAAGATTTTAAATGTGCCTTATATTATAAACTTTTATATGCATGTTTCAAAACACATAATGGTAATTTTTATTATTGAAAGTTTTTATTCATTTTTTAATCGATTTGTTATGTTTTTTTTCACAGCAACATCTACAAAATGGGATAGAATCAAAAATCTCATAGAATCATTTGTTAATGATAAAAATGATGAAATTTTATTTCTAATCAAATGTACAGCATTATTCGAAGAATTAAATCAACCACAACGTAAGCATAAATTTATTATTGACAAAATCATTAATCAATATTATTTCTTATTATTATTTTATTATAGAATTATTACCTGAGATATTTATTTATCTACGTGATAATAAATTGATTCAAAATGAATCGTTTTATCAATGGAAAGTACACAGGAAAACGAAAGCAATTGCCTTTATGACTGTAAAAAGGTTTATCGAGAATTTAGATAAAAAATGATTGTGACATGTACGCAACAACAACAAGAAATAAACAAACAGCAATCGTCCATCATTATCTTCATTATTTTTTTATCAAATCCCTCGCCATCTTCGCCAATCAACAATTGGCATTTAGTTCAACAACAATTGTATTGTATGTGTTGGTGTATTTGATTTTTTTTCGATATTTTCTTAAACATATGGCTCTTTGACATTATTCACGAACATCATGTATACCATCAATCAATGTTGTTGCAGATTATGCTGATTTGTTTTACAAGAAAATATTTTCGTTTTTTACTAAGCATCGATTAGCTGGAAGATGAAGAGGATGGTAGTTACATATAATAATAACATATATATAGAAGTATGTGTATTTTGCATTCACATCAGGCAATTTTTCATCGATTCACCTCCCCTGGCTACCACCATTTTTATAATAAGTAGTAGTTTTTTTCAATTATAATGTTTAGAATGATATTTTTTTTTCTTTTTCCAATTCGTATGCAATCACACACACACATATACTATATATATGTAGGTTTTTTTGTTTGTTTTTTTTAGAAAAAATTATCGAATAAATTGAAACATGCCTGCCTACCTTGACATCTACACACACACACACCCACACAAATTTAATCAGTCAATCAATCGATGATGATGACGATGATGAAATGTCAAAGAGCTATTAATTTTTTTTACCTTTTTCTCAATATTATTATTCTAATTATATATTAAGATTATTATTATTATTATAAAATATAATTATTCATTTTTTACTATAATCATTTGAATGTGATATGCTTGAAATTTTTTCAAAACAGGAAGAAAAAACATTTACAAATAGAATGTTTTATTCGTTTCATCTCTCTTTTATCTTATTAGTAATTTATAATTTATTTGATTTGATTGATTTTTTTTGATTAACCACATTTCCCTATAGTTGTCCATGTTGTTTGGTTTTCTCTCTCTCTCCCGTTCTCTCTATCTCTGTGTGTATCAAAATAATCTAAATTTTTCTTTTTTTTTGTTTCATTCTCTTTATTTTTCTTTTCTAAAATTCTTGTTTTTATGTGTTTGTGTTTGTGTGTGTGTATGTATGTATGTATCATCGATCAAATAGTTTCTACACATCCACAACAATCCATATATAGATTCCGTTCTATAAAAAAAGAAGCAAATAAATTCCATCTCATGTAATTGGCCTAAAATTTGGTAAGTTTTTCTAATAAAATTTTAATAAATGCAGAGAAAAAATAGATGATGAAATTTTTTTTATCGTTCAAATCATATCCATATATATCGATGATGACAATGTTGAATTCCTCGTTTCTGATTATTCATTTTTTCTCTATTTTTGTTTATCTACAATCCAATGATTTTTGACAATGAAAATTAATCCAAAAATTTTCAATTTTTTTTTCTTTCTTTGTCTTCATCAACCTTGTTGTTTGTTGCAGCCATATCAGCATCAAATATACCAGAATTTTTTATATAGCATAAATATGGCCAATCATTTTATTCATATTTGCCGCTGATGCCGATATCACTGATAATGATGACTATTCTTAAATTTTGGATCGTTTTATTTCGAAATTTTCAAAAAAAAAAAAAAAAAATTGCCGCCTCAAATGATGACCGATGATGAGAGATGTGATTTTTATTTTAATTATTAATCTTTGTAAAATTTAACTTTTTTTTTTTCTCTTTCTATATATATCTCTTCATTTTTCTCTTTTCTCATTCTTCTTTTTTCTTTGTCAAGACATAAGTGTCACTTATTTTTAAGGAAATTTTTAATAATAATAATAATAATGATGATGATGATGATGAATATTATCCGAATGGATCAAATTAAAAATAAAGAAACGCAAAAAAATATTTCTCCCGACTATTTTTTATGATATGAGTATAAAGAGTTAGAAAATCAATCATTACCCATTATGATTTGTTTTTTATTTTTTACATGATAATAATATGATACATCCAAAGCAACAATAAGGTAAATTGAAATATTTTCAAATGTTTCAAAAAAAAATTTTCATATTTATAAATGGCAGTGTTGATATTGATAATGACGACGATGATGATATTAATCACCCAAAATAAAAGGTGGACGGATATTCAGATACGAACCACCACAGAGCAAACTAGAATAAAAACATACCCACCACAAGGGTTGAAATTGAAATTTACAAATGGGTATTGTTTATATTATTATTGCTGTTGTGATTGAGTAAGGCACAATTAAATTGGTCATTCATTGATTGGCTATTATTATTGGGACCTTGTTGTGATACGATTAATGTGGCCGTGGATATCATTGATGATTGATCCAACAATGATGATGATGGATCATGCTGTTGTTGTTGATTGTGATTTGTGGCCGTGGATATCATATCGGTTGCAGCCATAATTAATCTAGGCTGTGCATATGTCGATGATGATAATGATAATGATGATTGTGGTGGTGGTTGTTGCTGCTGGGATGGCAAACCAGACGATGATAATGGATGATGGCCAATGATAGCACCATTTGGTTCAGCATAGATATGATGATTACCGATACTACCACCACCAACAATACCATTATTGATTGTTACATGTGTGGTTGAACGAGGATTATTATTATTATTATTTTCACCACAAATAATCGTATGTTTCGAATTGATTGATGGTGAATAATGCATCAATGTTGATGTTGGATGATGATGATGGTGATGATGAATCATTGAAGATTTTGAATTATAAATATCATCAAATGGTTGCTGTATAGCTGCTGTTGTTGTTTGTGATACAACAGCCGCTTCTTGAGCTTTATTTTTGGGTGTTGAACAAAGCGTATGATAATCGACCATTGGATATGCAATCATTTCCGTTGCTGCTGTTAGATCATCTTTCGATCGTATTGATGGTGATCGAAGGTGAAGATTCTGCGAAGGTTGGGTCATACATTCACGTTCATGACGTAATAGTTCTTGTTTACGCATAAATGCAATCAATGTTGTCAATACAGCAACCAATACTATAACCGATATGATTATTGGCAACATTATCGTTACATTATGAAATGGAGCATTCGCTTGATATTCAAATGACGCAAGATCTGGTGGTGATAACCGAAATATCATTGTCGATGATGATAATGATGTATTTGATGTAGTGAAATTATAAATAGCTTCAGTCATGCCTAAACAATGTGTTTTTTTTGTTAAATTATTATAATTCACAAATAAAATAATAAACAAACCTGCTGTTGATGCTGCAATCACTGAAAGAATGTAAATCTGATCCGATTCCAAATTATTTATCGTAAATGTTGATGATCGATGTGGTTGTTGTTGTTGATGATGATGATGATGATGTAGAGGATCATAACGTATTGTACCAATATTTTTCCAATGTTTGTGGCGATGTTGTCGATATTTTATTGTAAAATTCTGTATCGGACAACCACCATCATGCCAGGAATCTAGATTCATTGTTATGGCTGTATCATTAACAGCGATGAATTCATCCAACGATGGTGAAATGGCAACCGTTCCTTTAGTTCGCGTAGTAATTATTTCACCTGTGTATGAAATATTTTTCCAAATCAAAATATGAAAAATTCGAATTCAAAAAAAAAAAAAACCTGTAGCAGTCGACTGTTGTTGTTGTTGTTGAGATGAAACATATGTCATATATAAAAGATATTTAGTTCCACATTTTAAATTCGTTTCAACGTGACGTCGTAATTGTCCAGGCAATTTTTTTTCTATCCATTTACCAGCCGAACCTTCTTCACTAATGTGTAATATAAAATCATTTCCATTGGCCAATGTGGATGATGACGTCGATGATGATGATGATGATGATGAATAGTCATCAATTTCCCAATGGAGCGTTATAGAATCAATATCCGTATTCAACACTTCCAAAACGATTGTATTTGATTTTTGAATATTCAATGTTCGTACTGTAATCTATATTTGCGTACCAAATAAACGATGATCAAGTTTTTTTCCGCATATGACAAACGATATAGATGGAAAATGGAAAAAAGCAGAAAACAAGAAAATCAAATTAGTCATGTCCAGATAGTTTTTTTTTGTTTTTGTTCCACACACACACAAACTTACTTCATCGGATCGGGGACCAGCGCCAGCCGTATTGAATGCTTGCACTACAATTGAATATAGCGTATGTTTCTTTAGATTTGTTAGATAAGCAATTTCATATGCACCATTATTCATCGATGTTTCAACTAGATTTGCTTCAACATTTTTATATGCATATTGTTCATTCATTGACAATGAATCGATTGATTGAACACGGCGGCTATTTGTACTACTACTAATACTTGTAACATCATTCGATATGATTCGATATCCAATATAATAGCCTTTAATTTGTCCAAATTGTAGATAATGATCTGGTGGTCTCCATTTCATTTTCAATGAATTTGATGATAATGGTTCAACACTAACATCCAAAGGTGGACCACCAGGCATTTCTTCCTGTGTTTTAAATGTTACAATTTGACTTGAATCACTTTTTCCAATAGAATTCTGTGCTTTCATCTGTAATTCATATGAACACCATGGATATAATTCACGTAGAACAAATGATTGTAAATTGGCATCATTTATATATAATTCTTTCCATGTTTGCCCATTTATATTGGTTGTCGTTGTTGCTGCTGCTGATGCTGATGCTGAAGATGTTACATCATCAATCGTACGTTTATCGATTATAACTGTATTATCATTATTATTATTAATCGACGATTGATGATTATGATGATGAAGATGATCATGAAAACATTTGGCCTTAAATTGTACAATAAAACCAATGATGGCACTATTACCAGCAAATGATGGTTTCCATTTAATCTTTACCGAACGGCTTGTTATTTCCGATACGGCTACATCACGCGGTGGTTCCGGTACCTCTATAATAATGATCGTGGTCCAATAAACGAGAAATTTTTTAAATCCATCCATAAAAAAGTCGAAAATAAAAATATAAAAAAAGTTAATTATCCAATGATGACAATTTCAATCATTAACTACTATTACGGTGAAAAACAAAACAAAAAATTCCAACACTGATTCGATGAATCAAAAATACAAAGTCAAAGAATGAGAATTAGTGAAAAAAAAACTTGTCTCACTTTTTTCCCACTCTTTTCGGGTAATTTTTCATTTCGAATATAAAGTGAAAACTTTTTCTTTATTTTTGCCGATCTCTCTATAATTCCATTGCATCGAATATAAAAACGAGAAATAGATAGAGAGAATTTTGTACTTGGTTAGAATTGGAAATGATGATGATTCTCTTTTTTTCTTTGGGATTTTTTTTCAAGAATCCTAAAAAACACCCACCACCACCACCACCACCACTTACCACACACATTCATATCTCTAAGCTCTAAATGTATAGAATTATAATTCTTTTTTTTTATTCTTTCCTATTCTTATAGACATATAGGATGAAAAAGATATAAATTTCATTCTCTCGTTCTGTGTTTATATGTTTCGGCAGTTTTTTCTCTTTCATTGAATAAACTCATAGAAACTAACTAACCAACCACCGCCAGCACCGACAAAAAGCAGCTAGAATAATTGCTACTATTATTATTACTGATTACAGAGGACAATTTCCTTCAAGTCTTAATTTTATGATTAATGACAGTAATGTGTGTGTGTGTGTGTTTGTGTCTGTGGTAATGGTAATTAAGGGAATTGGCTTCAATTCTATAATCGTGGTCGCTGATGATGATGATTATCATTATTATGATGATGATCATCATCATAATAATAATGAGGATAAAGAGCACAGAATGTGATGGATAGCGGTTCATGAGAAAATGATAATGGTCTAATACAACTCAAACGCCTGAATGATTGACAATTTTACTTTTCGGGTTTTTTTTTCATCGTTGACAATTGTATGTTGGATTATTCTGAATTCTTGGTTAGCAAACACATACCTTGTACAATAAGTTGAATATTGCAGATATCTGTACCGTAAGGATTCGATATTGTACAGGTGAATAATGCTGAATCAAGACGATTTGTATCTAGGATTTCTAAATATGATATAATTGATGTTCGTGATTGACTTTGATCTTCTTTTATCACATAATGTTGATTTGATTGTTGCTGTGGTAATTGAATCGATTGCATATCACGTTTCCATTCAGCCATCAGGATTGGATCACCATCACTACGACATTGTAATATTGCTGTTTGACCTTTTATCACTGTTTCAGTGATGAATTTTTGTTCAACATGTGGTGGTTGTTGTACTTGTATTTGGATTACTTTACTTAGATCTGTACCAATACCGTTACTTATCTACGCAAAAGTATTCAGAAAAAAAAGAGAAAATCAATCCGGAAACACAAATGAAACAAACATACCTGACACATGTATAAACCTGTATCGGTAATTTCTGTTTCTTGAAGATATAAGGAACCATTACTAAATACTTGATAACGATAACTTGAAAGTATATCACGAAAATCATTGTTAGTTTTATGTTGTTGTTGTAGTTGTTGATCAAAATTATTAGTGTTTATCAATTCGTTATTGATGACATTCGAAGTAGATATAGTGGTCATAGCTTTTTTCCATACAATTTTTGGTTTTGGATAACCTTCGGCCTGACAATTAATGGTTAAACTGCGTCCCAATATGACCTGTACATTTTTTGGTTCATGTATCCATTTTGGCGGTACATTTACAATGATTTCAATTGTACTATTATCACTTGCATATGCATTACGTGCACGACATGTCCTATGTTGTTGTTGTTGTTGTCAAGAATAGAAATCAATTGAGTCCAACGAAAGTGAACAAAAATTGAATGAAAACATACCATTTATCTGAATCGGTAATGGCTACATTTTTAAATGTTAATAATGAATATTCATCACCATTCTGTATGGAAATCTGATCCGATGGTCTTACTGCTTTCATCATCATCGCCATACCACGAAACCATTCAATTTCAATTGGTTGATCACCTTCAATGACAGAACACATTAATTTTATACGATCACCTTGTTTTGTTTTCAAATGACCAGGTAAACTATGCCTATCAATTTTCGGTGCATAATGTACATTTAATTGCACATTTCCTTTCAGTAATGTAGAATGCTGTTGTTGTGAACGATGATTTCCTGATTGATCGATTCCGGTAGCAGTGGCGGTTGCTGTGTTGGCCATACGTACTGTACAGATATAATCACCAGAATCTTGAAATGAATGTGCCGATTCAATACGCAATATACCACCATAACCATCAATAATTGGTTCAATTGATTGTCGATGGTTTACCGGTAGAATGTTATTATTATGTTCCCATTGAATTGATTCCAATGGATAACCAATAATTGGACAACGTATTATAGCATCCATATTAGCTACAACGCTTACATTATGATGACGTTGATGATTCCAGAATGATGTACGAAGATTCGGACCACCATTCACTAATACTAAACCATCGAATGATGCTCTACCAACTTCATTTTCAGCTACACATGTATACTACGTTTGTATGTATGGAAGTAACAATCGGATTGAAAATAAATCATCCAAAATCATCATAATCACTTACTTGGCCACCATCGATCACCCGAATATTAGTGATATTAACAAAACTGACAACCTTTCCTTCATTTGTAACATGATCACCGGTACGAAATCTTGATAGATTTGGTGGTATTGGATGACCATCTAGATACCAACGTATCTGTGGCAATGGTGTTCCAATCACAACACAACGTATCGAAATAGCCGCATTTGATTCAACCACTTGTCTTTCGGAGAATGTTTCCAATAACATTGGTGCTACATCACCTAATTTTAATTCAACAATTGATTGTGATTCATCCTGTTCTGATTGTATCACACATTGATATGCACCTAATTGATATATCGAATAAATCAGGAAATTTTTGTTTTAGAAACTTTTCCACAACTTACCAACATCTTGTCGTCGTACAGCTGATATATGTAGTATATTTGGTTCAATCAACCGAATACGTTGATCACGGACATGTTCACGAAAAATATTGAGCATATTTTTACCATTAAAATACCATGATGGTTGACGATTAGGTGGACCACCGATTGCCGTACAATTGAATGTAATTGGACGACCTGCATCCACTTGTATTTGTTGTCTTGGTTCAATCATTACCTGTAAAGGTGATCGTACCTGTACACGAATCACTGCCTTTTCTTCGGCCAATGAATTATTTGCCATACAAATCCATTGACCATTATGTGAAGCTGTTGTTGGACGGAATATCATTCGATAACCGTTACCGGTATTGCCGCCACCACCACCATCATCAATATCGACATCATATAGATTGGCAGCCATATAAACACCAGTTTCCGTTTCACGGTACCATCTACATCACCGAAAAACGATTATAAATGTAAAATTAATTACACATTACACACACACACACATCCGGATTGATTATCATATATAATGATGGGAGAGATTTAGAACAGATTATTTTTCGATTTCTCTTTTTGAATATCAATTTTTTTCGGGGGCTGATGGCAACGGGGGATAGATAATAATCATTTTTTCCATATTAATTAATATTTTATCTTCTAAAAAACCAGTCAGGACGAAAAAATGTTAATTAAATGCATTTTATTCATTCCGGTTTTTGGGTTGTTGTTGTTGTTGCAACTGAAAGAAGAGAAAATGAAATTCACTTTTTTCCTTTGTCTCATCACATTACTGTGTGTGTAACGAAACACTGGAAAAAAGAATCCGGGATTCTTTTCTTGAGAGAAAATTCCGGAAACATTCTAACAACGAAAGAAAATTCAGTATAACCGAAAATGTCCGATTTAATCAAAATTTATTATACACAATGGACATTGTGTGTGTGTGTGTGTGTGTGTATATGTGTGGAATAATTCACTCTTTCTTTCTTTCATTCACATTAAGAAATGTCGTTATATTTGCCAAAGATTTGATTACCGGAAAAAACCGAGAAAAAAAACCACCTTGAATATAACTGAATGAAAAACGGCAAACGAAACCTGGAGAATATTATGAGCTCGACCTTATCAGAGTTGTATTTTTTTTCCATTTTTCATCGAAAATACCTTATACAGACAACGCGACAACAACAACTCTGTGCTGCTTATCATCTGTTTATATCTTTGTTTTGTTGTTGGTAATTTAGTTAATTTTCTAAAAATGGTTTTCAAACAGAAAAAAAAGTCAATGATCATTGATCATAAACAACCGTCATCGACTCATCGTCATCATGATGATCAGAATGCTCATTCAAAATAAATAAATGGACATATAACATGCATAATGTTTATATATTCTGTGGTTTTTTTTCTGGGTTGTCAGACAAACAAACAAACAAACAAAACACAATCACGATGATGATGATTGAACAGTATCGATTGTTTGTTTGTTTTGAAAAAAATCTAACCAATAAGCATTATGTCGGGCTCTCGTTCTATTTCATAAATGTAAATGTCTGGTAATTTACATTAGTTTCTTGTAAGTTTGCGTGCAAGATATCAATGCTAGAATAACCATAATCATAATATGGGATATATTCATTGAGGATCATCTATATGAAATGTTTGGATTGTGTGAATGAAAAAATTTTTTTTTCTTTCGATTTTGACAAGAGATCCGTAGCTAAAGATGATTTTGGTGTTTGTGAAGCTTTAGCATATTTGAAACAAATCCATTTTGATGTGATTTTTTTTTCTTTTTTACTGATTTCCGATTTAACATTTATCAATAATGTTCTCATTATCAGAGAAATAAACAAAAAAAACTGTTAATGTTTTCATCGGAAAAAAATGATTAAATTCATGATCCATTAAAACGTGGTTATGATGGCCAGTTTTCAGGCATCGTTCATTGTTTAATGAATGATAATGTGTGGTTCGGGTAAATAACCGAAAAAACCGAAAACAACAGTGATGGTATTAGTATGAAACTGTTCAAAAAGGTTTTTTCTTTTCTTTTCTGCATTAATTTGAATTTATATTTATGACCAAGAAAACAAACAAAAAAACAGTCAACAAATGTAGGAGGAGTTTGTGTGCGGAGGGGGAATCACACCCATCATCATCATCACTATACTGTTTGATAGAATTAAGGTATATAAAAAAAAATCAAAAAGGGAAAAAAGAAAAAACAAACCATCATCGACATTCATTTTCATCAGCAAAGAGAGAGAGAGATATGAGCATCATCAGTGAGATCAGAAAAGAAGCTAAGAAAATGACAATAATAATATGGGCACGCAATGTGTTATTTGACGACCATAGGCCATACACACAGGCACAAAGCATGGATATATTTTATATGTAGAGTTTATGATGATGATGATGATAGCTAATAAATTAGTGCGTCTATGGCATGGTTTTTGGTTGTTTTATTTTCTTTTCTTTTCTTTTCTTTTGGGTTTTTTTTTTATTTATTTATTTACGTTGAGATGTGTACCTCGGATGTTCTATAGAAGAAAATTCGGGCATTTTCTTTTGGGTCCGATGATGACAAATTCGACATGTCATTTATTTTTATTTTTTTTTTGTCGGGATATTTTATTATTTGATATAAAATAGTGTTATTTTAATATAATATCATAAACTTCTTATATCGGATTAAATATCCCTATATATAAGTGTACAACATCCACCCAGTGACCACCTATCGAAAATGAAAATGAGAAAATTGCCATAAAAGAGAAAAAATTCTTTTAGCATTTAAAGTGTTGAATATCGCATGATGCAATGTGCGAGATGGATTTTTGATCCAAAATAAAAAAAAACAATCAATAGACCAATAGATCATCATCATTAACACTATTATTACTCTGTTATTGTTGGTCAAGAGAGATGGAGATTTTCTCTCCCTTTTTAACGATTCCTTTTTATTATAGTTTTTTTTGTTTCAATGAAGAAAATGATCCAGGATAATTCAATGTGAAAATGGCAATTTTTTATGTGCTGATTAACACCATTGAATCATTTGATCATCGAAACATACAGACAAAACGCCTTTTAAAGTTTAATTCCAAATGTTCCAAACGATTATTATTCGGTAATTCGATTATTATTGATCAATTTTTTTGCCTTTTCTACACCTTATGAAATGAATGATCTTTATTGAACACATTTGACCGAACCAAAAAAAAAACTGCAGAAACTTGAAGACAAAACCAGACAAAACAACTTGAAAAGCTTCACTCAATCCAAAATTAAGACCAACAAACAAACAAAATAAAAATACGGCTTAATACGATCATGATTAAAGTTGACTTTTTTCCAGAAAAAAAAAAAATTTCTTCATTTATCTAAAGGATGTTGTTGTGGAACATGTTTCTTTTTTTTCATTTAGGATAAGGACATCCACACACACACACACACACACATTCTCCAAAGAAAACATAATTCCTCAGTCTAGAAAGATAGAGAAATTAGTGTGGAATGAACAACAGCATCTTGACATCATTACAAAATGATGTCGAGTCATAAATAAATTAAAATTCAATTAATCCAGTGAATAACAACCAAAAAAAAAAAGAAAAGCTCTCGCAAATATACAAGCATATTTAAATGGGCAAAAAAGAGAGAGAGAGAGAATGAGCGGAAAAAAACTCATCAACAACAAATCCAGGATGTAAAAAGAAAATGATCCAGAATAACGACGACGAAAAACTCAAGAATCTAAAAAATAATAATAACACACCACTCACACACACACATATACACATCCATCATTGTTTAGTTTGTGGATGTTTCTTTTGAACAAAAAAAAAATAACTAAAGAACCCAAGAATAAAAAAAAAAGAAAATGCTCATCTCCTGTGTACGATAATAATTTCATCACCATTGTTGATGATGACATAACATAACAAAACATGACATGACATGATTATCATTATTATTATCAAGCAAAACGAAACGAACGAAAAAAAATAGATCTCATGTCTTGTCACATCACATAACATCATCCTGGATTCTTGATTAAGAATTTTAAGAAGAAGAAGAAAAAAAGAGCGATACGATATAAAAGATAAAATGACAAGAACCTTTATATTTTTGGGTCTTTTCTCATATACATTCATTATGATTATACATACATAATACACATGACATTGTCTAATGATAACAACAAAAAGGATAATATCATATCACATTCTGTGTGTGTGTGTGTGAAAATAAGAATATTCCTCTCTTTTTTTTTTTTAAACTATGAGATGAATAAACGAATGGATAAGCTTAATCGCCTGTCATATGAGTTGTTCAAATTTTTTTTTGTTTCTCGATGTCAACGAAAAAAGATTTTTTTCGATTCCTGAAACATAATGATGATGATGATGATGAATAGTGAAAAAGCACAAAAATAATTTATCGAACTTTTTTTTTTTTGCTTCCACGCTAATAAACGACGATGACGACAACAACAAACCCGAATCATTAGTGGCATCAAATATTTCCTTCACACATACTATGTCAGTCATCGATAAAAATTTTGAATTGATGAATTGGATTGGTTTGGGATGAGTGGAGAATGACATTATTGATTCGTTCTTGAAAGGAGTGTTTTTTTTCGCCAAAAAAGTGTTAGAATCACTGTTGTTGTTTGGGTGTAATGATGATCATCTTTCATTTTTTTTTTCACAGCCGGGAAAGTTTTCTCGTAACAATCAATAAAAATGAATTCAAATCGTATCAATAATTTGAATGATTGTGAATATAATTGACACATACAAAAGCAAAAACAAAGAAAAATCGGTTCCGCCGGAATAGAAATGACTAAACAAAAGAAAAATTTTCAAGTTCCTGATAACGATGTGATGACGACAATGATGATCAGGACAAATGATTGATCTAAAATGGTTGGTAACACACACACACACACCAAGCGTTTATCATTGTAAAACTACCACTAATTATGATATTTTGGCAAAAGAAAAAGAAAATTTAAAAATTTTTTGAAAATCTCCCATGAGCAATGAGAGAAAAAAATGGGCGATAAATGATGTGAAAATGAAATATAAATCACCAAAATGAAAAAAAACTGAAACCAAGAGAAAAAAAAATTCAAGTAATTCGAGATGGATATAATTATCCATCATTATCATGGCTAATCAATTCTGAATAATCAGAGTGAGAGAATATTGAATAATCAAAAAAAAAAAAATATATGTTTGCAGAAAAGAAAATGCTTCAAGGGTAATTTGAGACACACACTAGTTGTTGTTGTGTTGGCGGTAACTGTCAAGAGAAAATAATCCGAAACGAAAAAAAAAAAACTGAGAAATGCAGAAAAACGATGCACATCATCTCGGATAACCGAGCGAGAGACAAAAACAGCCAGAATAGGAATATGAAACGAAATGAAATGAAATGAAATGACAACCATAGAGAGAAAAGAAGAATGAATAGAAAGCCATGGGTAATGGGTAATAAATCAAGCAAATAAAATAAAAAAAAAGAATCGGATACAACATGAATGATATATTCTGGATATCATCATCATCATCATCATCATCATAATCACTGCATATAAAACAGGCAGACAGACTGACGAAGAATTTCAAACTACAATATAATCATCACCATCATTATCATAGAATAGTTAGATAGAGAAAGAATCAAAATGCAAAATGTCAAAATCGGTCCAACAGAACAGTAACGAATTCAGTCGGCTGAATTCGTTTTCGAATGGGACGATTGCTTACGATTCTTTTTTTTTTAGTGACTAGTTTTTATTCTTTAGACTTGTGAATTGTTGGAAAAAGAGAGAGAGAGAGGAGAGAGAAATTTGACTAATAAATTCTTGAATTCTGAAAAATGAAATAAAAATCTTGTTTCCATCATCATCATCATCATTAAATGAGAGAGAAAGAGAGAGAGAGCCGAATGAAACATCATCATCCGATTGCAATTGAATTGAAGTTTTTTCTAACACATCTTTTTTCAGCAAAAAAAGACATATTTTTTGGTTGCTCAATTCATTCATTCATTCATTCATTCATTTTTTTCGTTTGTCTCACTTGTGTATGTTTTTAATAAGAAACTCTCACTCAAATTTCTGTTCGTATTGAAGAAGAAAAAAAATTTTTTTTTCTTCATCGTGCTTGAATGCATTTCAATCATTCTTATTTCGTTTCAGAATCTCTCTCTTTCACTATATGTTCGTCGTCTGTACCGAATTGAATGCTATGTGTCAATAATTCAAAATACGACGAAAAAAAACAGAGAAAAAAACTTATCGTTTTTCAATTTGTCGTCATCATCCACGACACATTGGATAGCACAACCACATTTTTTTTAAACTAAAAATTTTTCAATAGAAAAATTTGTGTGTGTGTGTGTGTTTTTGAAAAGAATTGAAAATGGATGGATTGAATTGGAATTTGTAGTTTTGTAGTAGTCTATGTGAATGGCAAGAGAGAAAGAAAATATGAAATGAATTTGTCTTTAAAAACTATTATTTTTTCTTCTGTGACAATGTTATTTTGTCGATAATGATGATGATGATGATGATGAGTGACATTCAGACAATTGAATGAATTCTGGAACATTTGACATTTTTATAACAACAAAAAAAAACCAGAATATACCGGCATTCTTTCATTCTCCGGGAAAAAAACTCAATCAATCAATATTGATGAAAATGAATAAATTTTTCAATTCAGATGACAAACAAAAACAATTTTTTTTGTTTGTTTGTTTGCAACTGATGACCATAATAATAAATTATATTAGTTGTCAATTATTGCGGACACAAAAATCGATTAGATTTTGAAATGAAATGAAAAGTAATGAAAGAAAAAAGGTAAAAATAAATAAATGTTTCCATTTCTCAAGTGTGTTTGTATGATGACACCTGGAAAAAAAACGGTTTGATATCTTATCGATGACACAAACTAAGATTGATTCGGCAAGTTTCTTTACGTGAAATAAATCATCACCACCGCAATGATATCTATAGTAAATCTCGGTAGTAAAGTAGTAAAGTTTTATGCAAATAACCATAGAGAGTGAGAGAGAAAATGAAAAAAATGTCATTGCAAAAACATATTCCTAAATAAATATTGGCCAAATTGTTGTGAAATGATGACATAACATGACATGTAATAAAGTAAATACATAATCATCATGCCAGGAAAAGATTTGGTGGTGTTGTGCCCTGAAAACATTGTGTGTGTGAACATAACATGAAACTTAAACATAAAAATAATAGTTACATCGATATTTTAATATTGCACCAGTTATAATGTTGTCACAAGAATTTCATCCGGAAAAAATGAAATGAAAAATATGTTTTCAATACACAATCATCATATCAATACAAGTTTGACATGTATGGACATTTGATGATAATTTGACATATGCAAATTAAGAGATTTAAAATTGAAAAAATTTCACCATTTCAACACTTGGGTGAAAATGGATTTTTCTAATAATTCTGAAAATCAATCAAGTTCAATGTCGAAAAATAAAATGTGAAAATAAAAAAAAAATTGAAATAATTTTGTCACATTTAATCATAACTAATCCATGGAAAAAATGAGGCTAATTACCGGTAAATAATAACCGAATGATGATAAATGATTGGTGCAACCAAACAGAAAAAAAAGAATCGAAAAATAATCAGGTCATCCATCGATTTCATTTCACAAACACCACCTCCCCCGGGTTCCGGTATAGCCAAAAAACAAAAACGACTACCTTGTTGTTGTTGTTGTTGTTTGGATTCATTTCATTTCACTAATCGGGTAAATTCCAAATAACACGATGGGGGTAAACCAAGGGGTAACCAGTGTCCGACCAAATTATTATTATCCACACACACATGAATATATGATTATTATGATTACCCGAAAAAAAAACTTTCAAAGGTATTTTTTTTCTGTGTCATCATCGAGAAGGAAGTCAGAAAAGAAGAGAGAAAAAAAATGTCGAAATGTCGTCGTTTTGTTGTTGCTGCTGTCATCGAACGTGCCTGTTGTTTGCATGAATGATTTTCGATAGGTTTTTGCTCCCTCCAACACCACCACCACCACCACCACCACAGAATATATGGACGACAGTCAGTCAGTCAGTCAGATAGGAATATGAATGACACCGGAAAATTTTTTTCTCCCATCAGTTTCAAACGTTTTTTTTCAGTGTTACCAAGAAGAGAAGTAGAGAAGTCGTTCATTCAATTTATTTCTGTCATTCATTCATTCATTCATTAGGTGTGTCACCACAATTAATTCCATTAGTGTGTGTATGTAGTTTTAATGAAATTTCATTTTTTTTCTAGATCCACATTCACTACATCTATATACGTAGATATAGATAGACAGATCTCAAACAGTAACAACAACAAACGACAAGGAAACAGTGAATAAATGTAATGAGAACATTACATTCGATGGCTATATCGGATAATAATAATCATAATCATGGTCGGAGAATTGACATTTATTTTTGTTTTTTGTTTCTATCAAAAATAAAATAAGAAATGATAATGATAATGAATATTATTAGGATTATTATCTGTGAAATAGAATAAATTCTGCAAACAAACAATAAATGTGGTCGATGACCTTGCATTATTATCATCATCATTTATTGAATTCCAACAGAGAAGGAGAAAAATCCATAAATTACATTATCATCATCATCATCATGGGAAAAATTTTTATTTCATCCAATTTGATGGATGCAAATTGAAAATTTGAAATGAGAAGAGAAAAAGAAAATGAAAGAAAATGTTGGTGTTCAGAATATCTTCTACGACCTGGCCAACTGTGTTCCACATACATAAACATTTGTTTCAAACATAAATAATAAATAATAAATTACTTAAAAGATCATAATTATAGTGACCATAATTTTTTTTTTTTCTCCATTGAAAATATATTCTCTCACTATAGGTCATCATCAAGTAGTCAAGCACGATCACCATCATTGGCCATTTCAACGATGAATTTCAATCTATCTATCCAATATCCAATAATAATAAATTGCAACAAACACGCAAACACATCAGATACCAAACAAAACAAAAAAAAAAATCATTACCTACTTGATTTCAGGTGTACTCATCATCATCATATTTATTAAAACAATTTGTTGTTTTTACACAAACAAAAGTAGTAACCTGATCATCATTATTTTTGGTGACATTTGAAACTTGAACATTTTCATGTTTTTTTTTTTTTTTTTTGGTTCATTGCACCAAAACTGAAAAAAATTCTATACGAATCTGGTCAAAGGAAAAAAAAATTTTTGACAGTAATGAAAATGTTACAACACACACACACTTTGAAACAAAAACAACAACAAAGTATACCACTGTGTTTTTGGAAGATTTGATTTGATTATCAAACATCATCATCTTAATAATAATAATCATGACACATACACATGGCTAGCAATTTTTTTTTGTTTGGTGATAAACACGACAACTATATAGTGACAACATTGGACATGCAACAAAGATACATTATGTTTCTATAGAACACAATTCATCATCATCATCATGATGGTGGTGGTGATAATCTAGTCTTTTCAATTGTTTTGAGAAATGTTTCTTATCACAAAAATATGGTGATGGAATATTGGTTAATGGAAATTGTTAATGTTGTTGTTCAACATCAAACATGTGTGAAATTCAGAATAAAAAATGACAAAATTTCATTCGTTCGCTACATACCTATATGATGATAATGGCCATGATTGAGCGATGCATACTAATTCACAAATGGTGTTTAAATCACAAATCACTGTTGTGTGTGTCCATATTCTTGGTGCAACACCGTTATGTGGTTCTTTGTTGTTGTTGTTGTTTTTTGTTGAAGCGTCGATGCGGAAAAAATAAATAAGAATAAAAACAAGAATATTATTATTTACAGGCAAACAAATTATCGGAATAAGCAAAAAATTTTTTTTTCGTTCTGATTTCATTCTATACCACCATTGAATGATCATGGAATAAATCATTCTGGTCATTCTATGGTGGTGGTGTTGGTGTATCGGGCAAATTTGGCAATCGAAACAAAAAAAAACCCATTATGGAATGGAAAAAATTATTACTATTATATTCTTCGCGTGTGTGTGTGTGTATACAGGAAAATGTGGATGAAACAAAACGAAAAAAAAATTGATATAGACATTGTTTTCGGAAAAAAATATGGTGGTTAACCTTATTATTATTATGCAATGATGATTGGATTAGATCGATCGATCGATCGAACCATCTGGGTTATTATAGTCCGACCAAAAAAAAAACAAACGTGTTGAAATTGGTAAAAAAAGCAAAACGCCGAATTGAATTTTCAAATAAATAAAATAATGAGCAGAAATAGATTTGTATTCAAATTATTTTTTTTTCATATGTGTTTAATTTGAGTGTCATTCACAGACACAGTAATTTATAATCACATTATCATATTATAATTTGGAGATTTAGATTCAGAGAGATGGAAAGATAATTCTTTTATTGTCGTATACACTTGGAACAATTAATTCTCAGTAGTAAATGTTGTAAAAGATGGATTCAGTTTTTATTTCACAAGCCAGAATTCAAAGAAAAAAAGAAAATCCAATGAATCGTTGACGAAATTAGCAGAATATTCTATCTATTATTATTACCATATAATGATTATTCACAGAAAAAAAATGGTGGACGTGAATGAATTACCAGAAAAAAAAACCGAAATGAAATAAAATGCATAAAAAAAGACAACATTCAATGCTGTGCTGGAAACTCATTAGTTACATTTCATTCACACATACATCCATTCTAAATGAATTCGGTTTCTAAATCAACCAGTGTGTGTGCATGTGTGTGTTCCACGGATGGAATTTTAATTCCGCTTTTTTCGATGAATTTAAAAACCAGTGTGTTTGCACCCGATCCATTTATCCATTCATCCTAAACGTTTCACACAATTGACAATGGAAAAGAATCGAATTTTTCAATGTTTGAAACAAAAATAATAAGATTGGATCACCATCATTGGATGAATGGGAGAAAAAAAAATTCGTTTGTGTGTCAAATAAAATTGAAAACAAGACAAAAAACGATGTGTGTGTGAGAGAGAGAGAGAGAATACCAATTTGGAACTTAATTACAACTCATTAATGAATGTATGAAGTGTGTGTGTGTGTGCGTTATTGGGTGCAAGCAGGCAAAAAAGAGCCAGAAATTCTAAGTGAAATTATAATTCTGCTCTCCAAACGACGACGACGACAATGAATTAGTCACATTAAACACACAGATAGATAGATGGATGGAATAGATAAATTTTTTTACTTTTCGATTTCCCGATGAAACAGAAAAAAAAATTTGTCTTTAGAAACAAATTTTTTTTTCTGTTTCATTTACGCTGAATAGGCGTGAATTTTTCCCGGAATATAAAGAATTTGTAGAAAATTTTCATCGTCATCATCATCATCATCAAGATCATCAACATGATGAGAAATAGGAAAATTTTTTTTTGCTTGCCATTGCAAAACGGATATGGATCAATTTACAGGATATTTTTTTTGTTGTAAATTTTTTCAGGAAAATTTTTCTCTGAAAATCACCATTTTTTCTGTAAAGTTTTCATTTTGAAAAAATTTGCGTTCTTTTGACGAATCGATCTGCAAGAACAACATCGATGATGACAGTTAAAAAATTTTCATTAACGTATTTTTTTTCGGCAAAAAAAAAATCCGATACCTAATCTGTTGACAAACACACAAACACACCGTTATTGGGTGACATTTATCACATAGATAATAATAACCAGGCCAGGAATATATTTTATGTTACACATGGATAAATTTTGTGCAACCAAAACCATCGATTATTTATGCAATAATAAACAATTATTATATGGACAAAACATACATGGATGTGTGTGTGGTGCACTTTATTTTCATTTTCAAAAAGATTATTATCTTTCTATGTATATGTTACAATGACATGTTTCTAATGATAAAAATCTGAAAAAAATTAAATAAATAAACTTGCCATTCTGTGGACCATCAACTTTTGACATAAACCAAAAGCAGCAGCAGCAGCAGCAGTGAAAAAAAAATCATTCATTCATCCATATATATAGAGATAATTAATGTTTTTTTTCTTCTTGTTCGCATAAAGACAACAATTTTTGACTAAAAAACAAAAAAAAAAATCTGATGCAAAACATTTATCAAAAAAAAAAAAATGAAAAACAATTTTCCTCGAGATTTTGTTACCAGAGTTGTTATCAAGAACAAAAAATAGTATAGAATATTCTCCTCATTCCAAAATCATATCAATCGATCGATCTAGCTATCGATCGTTTTTGAAAGTGAGAAAAAAATGAAGATGAAAAATAATAACAAATTGGAAAAAATAACCCAAAGTTTTGTTTTCGGGGCAAAAATGATTGAATTTTTTTGTGTGTTTTGTTTGACATCATCAATATTGGACGAAAAACAATCAACCAACCACCATATTGTAATCGACCCTGGTAAAGAAAAAAAATATTTAAAATGAAATTATGGCAGCAGCAGCAACAGCAGCAGCAGCACCAAAATGAAAATGAAATGAACAAACAGCGAAAATAAATAAATAATAAAAAGTTTATGGCCAATGTCCATTGGGAAGGGTGTGTAGGGGAAAAATATAATAATTCTGTACATCAATTTTCAAAAAAAAAAAATGTGATTCCTAATGGACAAAGTTCTCTGCCAACCACCATCAAAAGCCATTATGGAAAAATTATTATTTTTCCTGTTATATATGCTCAATATGGTTGATGATGGTGGTGGTGGTCAACATTTAATTATTATAATTGCATCACAAATACATCTTTGGGGTTCTTTCAAAACAACAACAACATCGACAACGAAAAAGTTGAATGAATTAAAATTTTGAAAATTTAAAATTTTTTTCCTGTGTTGTTATTGTTGTTGACCATCAAAAATGGTTTATGTTTTTTTTTTTTTTTTTCTAAATAATGGGAAATAAAATTGGGGTCAATTGATGTTTGTCCACAATACAAACGATACAGCATTTGCGACATATGGTGTGGCTATTAAAATTGGTTGTTGTGGAATATTCTGTTTTTGTTTCGGACATTCACACATTTATGTTTCTGGTGAAATGATTTTTTTTGAGTGGGCAAAACATTTCCATAGAAATATTTGAGAATATTTCTATCAACAAAAAAACTTAGGAAACTTACCGGTAACAATAAGACGTCCAGATTCATCACTAGTACGTAATTCATCGGTTAATTGATGTCTAATCTGGCAACGATAAAATCCAGAATCTTGAAATGTTGTATTATGAATGAGCAATTCACCAGTCGATAATAGTGTATAACGGCCAGCATCTAGAAATGAACGAGAAAAAAGTTTGAATTGTGAAAAAAAATTGTCTTTGAAAAAAAGAATCTGCTGTCAATTCATCCGGATAAAACGATTTGTTTTTTTTTCGGGATGGCAAAGAGAAATAAAATGGTCAATCTAAATCAGTAGACCAGACGACCTCATCAATATTTTCTCAAGTATTTTTTGCTTTTCTTTTCTTTCGATTGAAAGAAGTTGCCGTAAACTTGAAATTGTGAAATCCACTTGACTTTTTGGAAAATTCCAAATGGAACCCAGTGTGTGTGTGTTTGTGTGAGGACATGACACATTCGAAACAAACACTGTAATTTTCAAAGTCTCTCAAACATCAACTCAACTCAAAGAAGGAAAAAACGGTAAATGATGTTGATGATGATGATGATGATGAGAAAATGGACTTTCGATTTCGATCTCATCGATTTGAACATTTTCACAAACATCACTAGAGAGATGTTGTTGTTGGAATGAATATAAAGAATATTCATTTATTCGACACTATTACTGCTGACTAACTGACTAACTACTCTACCTACAACCAATGAAGGAAGAAGAAATGGGAAAAAGGAAAAAAAAGTCTGACAATTCTTTCAGGATTCATCTGGGATTTGCCAGAAAAAAAACATTGACACACAATGATCATGATGATGATTGTAGAGGGCAATAATATTCTCTTCATTGGAGAATGATAAAATTTCAGTCCAAGTAAGGGAAAAAAACTGAAAAAGATTATTATTATTATTCACGGATAAAACACATATTCCCCTTCTTTAATTGCAAAGTTGAACAAAAATAATGTCGTCCCTTGTATGTGTTTCAGTTCCAAAAAAAAGAAACTTTGAATATTCTTTACTGGATGTGCGTTTTTTTTTTGTTGGACGACAGCCATTATTTTGGGAATTTTTTTTCCTTTACAGAATTTCAAAAATTCCAAAAAAGAAACACGGATTAAACAAATTTGACACATTCGACAATGTGATCGTGTGTAACAATAACGAGAAAATTTCTGGTTTTCTTTTTCTTTCAAAGAAAGAAACCGGATTTAACCAGACGATGATGATGATGATGATATAACAGCAAACAAAGTGGAAATTTTTTTTCAAAGAGAAACAATGTATAGAAAAAAAATAATGCAATCCAACCATATGATACATTTTTCACCATCATCAACCATTTTATTTTCCCGTGTGTTTACGTATATATATATATAGGTATGCTTAAGTGATAAATTTTATTTCATTTTTATGACACATTATTTCGTGTTTTGTCGTTGTTTTGTTGTTGACAATAAAAAACAAAAGAATAAGAATTTTTTTTATTGCCATAGTCGTTGTTATTATATCATCATCATGTAGAATTTATGATTGTTTGTTTGTTTGATTCTCGGGTTATTGTTTTCGGTCGTTGTTGTTGTTTCAATATGGATTCCATATTTAATGTACTGGATAAGCACAGACAGAGAAAAAATGCGCGTGTGTTTACAAATTACAAAGTATTAGAATGCACCATGTATTTTTGGCCATTACACTTTAATAAGCAAATCGTAACCGAATAACTGGTAACCAATAACCGGATCGGACACTTGAGACAAAAAATTTTTTTTTTGGTTGAATAACATGAAAAAAATTGGAAAATTCCAAGATTTTCAACATCACAACAGTAAAAGTAACTAGCTCTGCATAATGGATGTATGCCGGCCAAAAAACCGTAAGTAAGTAAAGAAAAAAAAATCCATCATCATCATCAGATCCAATAAAATGGATGATGGCTGTAATTTCATTATATCCCGTTATTTTTTTTCCCCATCCGTTGAATCGGGATCTGTGAAGTCCAGGCCGGAAAAGTCGGTTATTCACACAAACATATTGCACATGTACAACACAAAGTATCATCGGATCATGGATCTGTCGTCTTTATTGTTGTTATATTTTTTTCGGGCATATCAAACTAAAAGAAAAATAACGGCGGGAATCCAAAAAAAAAATAGTGGATGACGATGAGCCATTCCTGTCATCGACATCATCATGTAAGAATGTTGTTGAATAGGAAAATGAAAAGAATGTGAATCTTCATTCTCATCAACACAAAACAAACAATGAATTGTATGAAGAATTACCATATAGGACTGCCATAAAAAAAACCATCATCATCATCATGAGCAACAACGCTACAATGAACACCTTGAATGTAAGGAATTTAAATTGAAAAATTAATAATTTTTCTTCTGGATCACAAACAACAACAACAACAACAGTTTTTTGTCTTCCATCGTCAAGCAATTTATCATCCTGAAAAAATTTCCTGACCAAAAAACAAATGGAAAATTTGATTTACAAAATCGTTATCGAGGGGACGCGAAAGATGATGATCGAGAATCTTGAAAATTTAAATTTTTTTTTTTAAACGAAACTGTTTCATGTCTTTGCATTCGCACATTCAAACATTTTTCAATGATGGAATTTTTCAAAAGAAAAAAATTTTGTCAAATTGAAAATTTTCCGTTTCTTTTTTACTGGAAATTCAAATATTTATCCAATGGTTTGCACCCATGTACAGATTTTTCACTATTTGACTTTATTGACTATATTGATGTAATTTAAAAATTTTTCATATGAAAATTGGCAAAAATTGAAATGAATGAATCATGTCTGTCTGTCAGTCAGTCAGTCAGATATGAATAATGTTTATTTAATAACATAATCATGTATTCCCTTTCATTCAATTATAGAAATTCAAGGTATGAAAAAAAGCTGGCTTCACTGTAATGATTTATTTTTTTTTTTTTACTCTAGAGAGAAATTTTTCTATAAATTCCGGAAAAAATTCTCCCGTTTTTTTTTTTAGAAACAATTTAATTTTCCAAAAAAAAGAACTACAACATAATTGGTAACCATTTCGTATTTCACACAAAAAAAGAGATTCTTTTACTGTCACTCAATTTCTTTTTTTTTTTTTTTTTCAATTCAGTGTGTTGTAGAACAATACAAAACATGGGTTTTAGGTTTGAAAACAACAATAACAACAGAGAACAGAGCCCACACATCATCATCATCATCATCATCGTAGAAATTGAGCCAAAAAAACTTTTTTTTCCTTTCATCATACAATGATGATGATGATGATGATGGAGAGACAATAATAAAATCCGAAAAATATTTGAATGGAAAGAAATAAAATAAAACTTTCCACCGATCCATTCAAAACACTATAATGATGATGTTTGATAATGCGTTTTCTCTCTCTCTCTCTCTCTCTCTCACACACACACACACATTTATCGTCTTCATTACTGATTGACAGAAAAAAAAGACAAAATCTCATGCCATATAACAAACGGAGAAAAATTGTAGTTTTTTTTTTTTTGTCATTATCAAATACTTTTCCGATAAAAAACGATTAGACTCGATAACATAATATTCATATGTATGTATATATAGATAGATTCTGTGAATTTTTCTTTTTTTTATTGAAGAAAAACTTGTAGATAACCATCGATTGTAATTTGACAATTTGATGGAATAATAATAAAAAAACTGAAACTAATGAGATGAATTCTATACAACACTAACAACAACTAGAATAATTCAATTAATTAAGTCTTAACACACACCCATTCATCCAGATCACACACACACACAATAAGATCATCATCAATGAATGAAAGAAAAAAAACCTAATTACATCAGTTTCGATGATGATCAAAGATGATTAGAAATCTTTTTTTGTGTAGAATGCATCAATGATCATCACATCACATCATCAATAAGATTGTGTGAGATCATCCAAGATCATTATCATCGATTTCATCGACTTTTATAGACAACACTAGATTCTCATTGATCACAAAAGATGAGAAACAAATATTCACTATTCGTAACAATATTTGATGATGATGATGATGATACTGGTGAAAACAAAACAAAAATCTTATTTGATCGATACAATTTGAACCACATACTAAACAACAACAAAATTTTTGTTGGCTGACCACAGTTTGAAAACAAAACAAAACAAAAATCAATCAATCGATCCGAAAAATATGGATGTGGATACATTTGATTCAACGAAAGAACCAAAGAAAGAAAAACAAACAAAATCAAAGAAAAAAAAAACATCATCATCATCATCGATGGATTTGTAGTGGATTTGTCATCATCATTTTGATGTCCAGAAGAGAGAAAAAAAATGATTGTCATCATTAAATCAGAAGCAGCAGCAACAAACACAACTGTCAACCAACGAAAAAATGATGTGGATTTCTCCGTTTTCTAGATCTTCTAGCGAAAATAACAAAAAAAAATCTCAAGAATCATGGATTGTTGACCGTTGTGGATCGAATCGAATCGAATCGAATAATAAAAACAAATGGTCTGTGTAATGTTTCCGTTTTTTTTTCGTTGTTTGTTTGTTTCACTAGAAATGAAATGAAATTCATTCAACAACAACAATGAACAATAAGATGACGGATTCAAATCAGTAATATATTTCAAGTGGATTTCTCTGCACGCTGTTCACATCCTCATCCAATGAATGAATGATAATTTTATTCAATCACCACCATTGGATGATAGTCTTCTAGGTCATGTTGATGAAAAACCAAGGATCATAATAAATGAAGAAAAAGAAAGAATGAAAAACGGTCAATAATGATCGACTCTTATCCAGTTTTTTGGATTAGGATCGTTTATTATTATTGTATTGTATTGTATTGCATTGGCATTGATTGTCTAACGGTTAATGAAATCGAATTTGCAAGCAAACAAACAGGAAAAAAATGAAGAAAACCAGTCACATTAAAAGTGATCCAAAATAATAATAATAAACTTTACTGCCACTACTAGTAATGGATATATTGGTGCTTGTGATTGCAATAATGATTGTATCGCAAATGAAATACACACACACACACACACAGAATGATGTGATGTATTTAGTGTTCCGTTTTCCGTTTTGAAAAAAAAGCTGTTGACGGCCATCATCATTTGTG